TTTTAAGTTCAACGGGTATTTGGATGTTTACTGATGTAATTTATGCTTTTCCACGTTAGCCTCAATTTATTTTTCTTTTCATTCATATGAACATGTGTCTTCAGAGGAGATAATTGCAGTCTTAATTTCAGCGAATAATGATGTCGTTACGCTGTTTGCCGATAAGTTTACAAATGCAAATTGCGAAAAAAATCATGCATCCATGAACTAAACTTCTGTTATTAGACAGAATGAATCAGCGTATTTTCATTCCAAGTTTCTCTAGTTCATAAAAACAAGAAAAAAAAAATAAACGTGATAATCTGACGCTCAACAAGATCTAGGTAACCCTAATTGCTCAGCAATTTAAAATAAAGGTGTTTTAAAAAAGAAGTGAGCTAAAACACGGATTTTAACGCGTGACGTCAAAGAACCCAGCCTACGAAACGGCGGTGGGCAGCTGGCGTATATTGACTCTCTGACAACAGATAAATGTTGAAACGAAATGCATGTCGAATTTCTGGAATGAGCCTTTAATCTCGCGCTTTCTTAAACAACATTCAACGCTTGTTGGTCCTCGCTGTCTGAATTCTGTTAAAATCCAAACAATTACCGTTTCGCTTTGTCAACAATTTCCTAAAATAGGGTCTACTGACTTATTTATATTCAAAACTGTCATTTCTCTCGATTGACACCCTTTAGGCTCACACAATAAGGATAAAAGAGATCCCCTAAGATAATCAATAAAATCTCTTATTGCCTAAGCCGGAAAATAACAACGGTTTGACGTCAATACCAGTTTGATTGACAGGAATTTGGATGCAATGGGAAAATAACCCCATTATGTGTTCGTTGGGTCGTGACTGAAACATGAATCAACCATCACAAACCATCAGGCCGAGGTCAATCTCGTTTCATCTCTCTACGAACTAGACGCAAATAAGCAAGTTTCTCGACTTTTCCATTACAGTTTGTACACAAACCAACACTGCTCAGCCAATAATCTCTCTGAGACCTCTGGACATCTTCTTTGAGAGCCTCTCGACACGAGCATGTGTTCATGGGATTGAATTTCCCAGCGCAATTAGTCTTGAGCGTAGAGACTGACAAAATACATTTGAGGCTGTTCACAGGTTACGGCAAGGTAATCTGGTGTGCTTAGTCAAAGACGCTGGTAGTGACAGACAAATATTCATGATCTCAGCGTTCCAGACACAGTAACTTCTCTCAAGGAAATGGTTTCAGTATTACCGCAGTTAACTATTGTGCCAGTAGAAAGCGGAATGAATTCTGTTAGCTCTGTGTTCATGCCGCAAAGAAACAGTTTTCGTCCAAAGAAAAAGTTAACAAGAATTGCCAACGGACTCAAAACCCAGGGAATAACAAATCAGTACAATTTACCTCCGCAACTATTTGTGACCTCGAAAACGGACAAAAAAAAGTTTTCCTCCGTTCCAAAGATAATAATTGATACGGTAGAAGATGACAAACCCTGGGAAAACAGGAACTCGCCGAGGTTACAGGCGCTACAGAGTTATACAAAGCCAGGACTTCATTGCAATGCAAGATTTCTTCATCCTTCGTATACAGTCTGCGCGGCCGTTTCCGCGAATGACCCTGGCGCTCTCAAAAATATTCTACTCTCGGGGTCCGTGAATATTGATCAGTTAACTTCGAGCGGGGCTTCGGCACTTCACGAGGCGGCTTATGACGGGAAAATAAGTTGTGTAAGCGCTTTAATTCAATGCGGAGCTGATGTGAACATTGTAGACAGCGAAGGATGGACACCGCTCCACGCCGCAGTTTGCGGGAGAAGTTTACAGTGCGTCGAGCTACTTATCGGTCGTGGCGCGAACGCCAAAGCGAAAACGGACGACGGACTAACACCGCTTGGAATCGCGTTACAACAGGGCGACAGAGACATGATTAAACTATTAACATCGCTTTCTAATCGGACGCAAACATCGAACAGACCGAGAAGGTACTCTTTCAAAGAAGCGAAAGCGCTGTTGTCATTTTCGCCTTCAAATGTTTAATTTAATGCGTGGGATGTCAGCAAAGGTTTCCGCAAGGATATCAAGAAAGCTCGATAATACCTTTATCTGAATGCTGTGAATTCAAAGAACTATGAAGGCCAATGACGAATTTTCCGTCTGACGTATTTACAGTTCCTATTTCTCTCTCTCTCGTCGCTTCCTTTTCTATATTAAATTACTCGCAAGAACAGCTTTAGTTGAAAAATGCAGAGTGTGTCATCCGCCGTTGAAGTTAGATTTGCAGACGCTTATATTTAAGACTAAATTCAGCCACGATATTGTAGTCAAGAAGCTAAACAAATGCATAAACAAGAATATATTTTTCAGAGAGCCGGCTGGCCGGCGGTAAATATTTTTATAAGCTTGGAAAATATTACAGTGTGAATATAGCAAAAAAAGCAAATAAAAGAAATTTAACAGATAATGGAAACTTTATGTTGCATGGACTTTCCTCCTAGAATAGCCTTTTTATTATCATCACTTCTTTTTGGTATCATACTTTATGTGGCAAATGAATGATGAATGACAGGAAATGTATGTTGGTATTATGTTCTCTCCGAAAATATACTGAGTCCGGTATAAATAAACATTTCGAAATACTGTTTTATAACAATCGACGCAAACTGGAACCCGCACACCGCAGGGTATATCCTGATTTTGAACCTTTCAAGTAGCTACTTTTTTCGCCTGCGTTTTAACATATTATTTCTTGATACGCAAGAGCATTCTTGAAAACGGCCGCTGATTTCTCTCAGATTTAGCAAAAAAGGTAACAAAGTTTGAGAAGGGTAATTCCCCCATCCAAATAACAATGTTTCGCAGTTTTCATTTTCGAACTTTGTTTACCCAAAGATCTAAATACTAAATCTCTTTATACATTTTGGAAAATGCTTGTTAACCACTTTCCCATGAATAGGATGAGAATTATCTTTTTGGCGACAACAAATTCGAGTTGCAAATGGAAGACTACACTTAGTTGGGCTGAGGAAGAACACGTAAAAGCGCACGAAAACCAAGAAGTGACTTCCAGTCAGAAAGTCGAAGGTCGACAGTTAAGGCGAGATGCTGAAAAATGTTTGAACTGAGGCAATCATCAAAGAAAAAAAGATAAATCCATGATAAACGAAAAGAGTTGAGACAATTAACACGTGTTGCAAACACAAATTTCAATCAACTATTAGACGGGGATGTGGTGACGGAATAGCGAACCTTCGAGAATGAAGAATTTTTGAAACTGAACATATTTCACGACAAGGTGAGGTAAATAGTAAGCATATCAGTTCGAGTTGAATTCTTCAAAGGGCGGAGTGGATATAGAAAAAACTGCCTCAGAAAAGAGACACGCGGCCTAATTTTTTTTTTTATCTAGCAACATGTGACCTCGGTCAAAAGACTAAGTTTGTTCCCGCAAAGAAATGCAACCATCATTGACAATTTCGTCGTTCACCCTTCAAATTTTTGCGTCATATTTTGGCGTATTTGCGTCTCCTTGAACCAACACTTCGTACTTTCCTTTGTATTGAAAGTTGCAAACTTGGTACGTTGCCATAAACAACCCCAGTTAAATATCGCACTACATGACGGAGCGCTTTCAACTACTGAAGAATTTGTTTGTATTTATGGTCGATAGTGCATGCACATTCCTTCTCTGCATCACTTGATTCTAGGAAAGATCAGAAAATGTGTTGTATATTTTAGATATATCATTAAATTGTTGCTATTTAATTTGAAGGCCAAATAAGAATTAGTTAGCCTTGCTGCTAATTTTTAGTCCCAGTTATTGTGCTACTAGTAACGTCGAAAACGTCTGAGATGAGACGAAGGAGCTTGTGGCTATTATTGTAAATTGAAGTTCATAATTAAATCAGCGGTTTTCATTCTTGATATTTGTTCTTCAGTGTAAGTGCTGCTTTGCACGCTTCGAGTTAGATTGGTCCGACAGAGCGATGGATTTTAAGAAACAAAGGCAAAACTAATTCTCTCTAATTTTAGTCAAACAGATTACACGTTTTAAGTTATCGTTGTAAGTTATTTTAGACATGAATTTGGAGCGTGTATTGAAATGGAAACCAGTCCAGTCAGTCAAAACGAATATCCAAAGCAGAAAAATATACTAACTGCTCAAACGTTTGTCAATTAGGTAATTATACTTATCTGCGGTTCGTTGGAAAATTCGCGCCACCAAATAGTCACGTCAAATGGGTTTTGATAACAACAGGTAGCATGCGGGCGTGCGTACGTGCGTAAAGCTAGAACTCCATTGCTGCAGCAACACATAATCGCTTTAATGGGCACGCATTTCACAGGCATTATGTAAGTGAAAACCTGCATTATGTACGTAAAACAATCTAGCCGGATATAAGGAAAGCTTGTGTCTGTAACAAACAAACAAACAAAAAAAGAAGCGCACGTTCAATTGTTTTTCGGCAGACGCCGGCAACCCCTTCTCGACTGTCTCTTTTGTTCCAAATTCGTTCGTGTCGCAAGTCCACGGAAAACGCTGCTGTGTAGTGTTCGCTTGCTGGCACGCTCTGTTCATTTCGCGGATTTCTTTTTCTTTTTAGGGTAAGAAGGACTAAAGCTGTCCATACACTGTCCCATTTCTTATTCCTGCACACATACACTTGAGTCTAAGGACAATGTAACATACAAAAGGGGAAGTTGTTTAGGGCCCTTGAGTAACCTCGTCATTTCTTGTCACACGCTATTAAACACATGACTGTTTCAATATCTATTTTGCTTAAGCGAGGGTAGCCTCAGGGAATACGGCTCGTGCTGTGAAACAGTGCACGTTTATTAGATCTGAGCATCTTGAGAGTTTAAACAAATTAACGCAGTCTCTAGAGCAAAGAATATTTATCGGCTGAGCCTAGCAACACAGCATTCCCTTGTTATGACATTCACTGTATTAAACTATAATGCAATTAAACATCCTTTATTTGAAGTAAATCAATTTGAGGCGAACAAAGAATTTTCGTGCAGGAACAGTCAAAACTAAAATTGTGTTCAGATGTCCTTTCTTGTTACATACACTGTTGGAAACAGCACGTCCCCGAGGTATCTTTGGCGTAAAACCAATGTAACGACCGGAAGGCACGTCAGCCATAACGAAAAAATCAGTCATTTACAAAATAAAAAATTGCTTGAGGCAAGGGTCATCTAAGAAGTACACCAGCCAAGCAAATTGCGAAATATCTGAAAGACGTATCCTTTCCTCCCCTGTCCTCCTCTCCATTTCTTCTCGGTCGTCCTCCAGTGAACTTGAAAAATAAAACAGCTAATTTTGAGTAATAAACAAAAGCACAAAGCTAAAAATAGTAATTGGTATGATTCACAGAAAGCGCTGTAAGGCGACAAGAGATGAAACTAAGATCTAGTGGAAATAAACTGAGCCTCAGAGACAATAATTTGTCGATTTAATAGCCTAGGGTAGTTATTTCGGCCTCACAAGGCCTAATCTATTTTAGACGTTCAGTCAGTAAAGTAAAGGGCGCGACAATAGCGGAACAGTGAAAGAACGAGGGAAGTCTGTGTCGGACCGCACAAAGAACAACGCGACCCGATCAAAACTGAGAGATCTGTTGCCTCGTGATCATTTTTATACTGCGAAGATAAAATCCAACTACAAGAACTGTTATCCCCTTAAAACTTATAAAAGCAAATGTTTTAGGGAAGAGGAAAAAGGGACAAAGAATTTATATAATGACCCGGGGAGGGGCCAAGTTAAGAAAATTATCGCACGAGAAATTTCCAGAAGGAAAGGTTTCAGCGCATCGACCTTGGCGGGGAGTAATTCCAGGCGAGTCAGACAAAGACCTTGAAAAGAAAGGTCTTTTAATAGCATAACAATTCAGAGAGGGACGGGTCCTGAATAGTTTAGTTTGTCGTCTTTTTTTATGCCTGTAAAAAGTAAACAATATCTTATAATGATCTCAAACAAGATAATGGCCGTCATAAAGGATGGATTTTGTTATCGTATCTAACCTTAGTTTATAAATAAAATCGTATTTTTTTGCTAGATTGTCACAAGGTTATCATTAGATCAGATCTCTCTTCTGACCAGTATAAATTTGTCAAGTTGTCTGGTTGTTAAGGTTCTTTCATCAGATGTATTAAACTTTCATTAATTGAGTTCTTTTCGTGATTCTAGGGTGAATTGTGTTGAGATGAGCCGAAAATTTCAGCAAACTCGTAAACTCGCGTAGCAATGGATTGCGTTCGAGTCTGGTATCGGGACATCTCTCCAATGAAAGCTTCTTCTAACTTTTTCCCAAGGGCCGGCCATGCTGACTTGTCTTACGTTGTGAACCGTTTTCTTTTTCTTCAGAGACCGCTCCTTACTAACCTTTTCCCATGTCTCTTTATGGTTAAGAATACATAGCTGTTCCAATGAAAGCTTAGTTTTAGAAAGATTCGCTTACAACGACAAAGTCTACGTGGTTCGGTAAACCCTCGAGAGATCTCGTAAAATATACATGGGGTCATTTACACCGTGATGATTTTCATAACTGCGCCAGACATCTAAAACATTCCCATCTACCATATGGACGAAGTAATTTCCACATACATCATAACTTAACAACATCAATCACTAAGGTTTTAATGAAATGATTAGGCTGGATTACAATAAATTTATACCAAGTGACTTGGAGCCGCCAGGATGAAGTGACAATGAGCTTTTCACTCAGCTTTTATCTGAACGTGAACGGAATCTGCGTTTCCAAATATGGCTGTTATTTCTCTGAAATGTTTTCTCTGGAGACAGTTTATCCAAGAGTTTAGGAAGTATCACATCTATATTGAGGTTGAATCTGGCCGAAGATGGCAGCCATTGGCACTTCCATTTCCCCTCCAGATGATCACAGGCGCTAACTCGCTCGCCACTCGTGGTGACAAAGGTTGGCTCCGACAAATTAGGAAGATCGGTCTTGTTAGACACGATGATGACTGGAATTCGACGATTTCTGTCGGCACAGCAGCTCTCTATCTCATCCATGAGTCTTTCCAGCTTTGTGAAGGACCCCGGCTTGTCCAGAGAATATACTAATATTGCAGCGTCGGATTTTTGGATAGCGATTCGCCTCATAGCAGGAAACTCGTAGGTTCCCGATGTATCGATGATGTGAATCTCACAGGTTTTGTTTCTGTAGGTCATCTGCTTCACGTAGAATTCTTCTACTGTAGGCACGTGTTCGTGAATAAATGCCTCCCCTACGATATGACGAATGATTGAGCTCTTCCCTACACCAGAATCTCCCAAAACAGCAACAGTAATTGTGTTAAGATAAATAGCTCGACGAAATTTATCCGCTTCCTCGAAGACACCGGAAGTCGATTTCGCCTTCTTCCGTAACATCCTGGATAGGAAAATTAAGGTCGTTTCTCTCGGAGTAGAACTTAAGAGTTACAATTAATCTCAACAAATCACTATTTAAGTGTTGAAAGTTAAAGCGGGATTCCCGTTTGCAAGACTTTTAGCAACAATAATAACCACCAACGCTGATAACCTTGATCAGATCAATTGAGATAATTGGGTGTATTAGATTCCATCTCAAGCAAGAACGCATTACAGTTACACCCTAATGGGCAACTTGCCACTTACACTCGTGCTTTAACTTCCACGAGAGCCTTAACTTCCTTGAAGTGACCAACATGTATCTTCCCCTTACAAAATTAATTAATTTTCCTGAAAGCTAGTAATGAAAATGATCAACCTTGTCAACTAAACTGTGTTATATTCAGGTAAGAGAATATTCTCTTGATTCAGGTTGATATTTAAACAAATTTCCTCGAAAGATAACAGGGACAATTTCAGAAGCTGAAATGCATATTAAATCTTGGTGGGCAAGAGGTGAAAATATCAAAGTTTTTATAACACACTTGTTGGTTGTTTGGTCACGCTTACTAAATTTTGAGAAAAAACTTGCCACTTACATACATATATATATACATTTTTTTTTTCAAAAAAAGAAGCTTTTACTGTGTACTTTTCTGTTGTAAAGCACGCAGGAAGCGGCTAGACAACGAAAGAAGTGTAGGGAGAAACACGAGACTTAGACGAGTGTTTCTCCTCACTTCTTGAGCGAGGAGCCCACTACCCGGAGCTTCCATCTTCCATACTTACCCTCGGAGTCAACCCTGTCCCGTATCTCCTTATTTTTAGAAGCAACTCCCACGGGGTTTTTCGCGGGTGTTTACATAATAGCCAGTCATAAGAATGCTGTGGTCCTCTATTGTTTACGTCACATGCAGGCCTTACAAAAGTATTTCAGTAATGGCAGGACCGAGCGAGCGTCAGTGTGTTTTCGCGGGAAATTAAAGAGCCCCCACATATCTCAGTTCTAAAAATAAAAAGATACGGGACAGGGTTGACTCAAGGATACAATTGGTATGAAGGCTCCGGGTCATGGGCTCCTGCTCGAGCATATATAATAGCACTACGATATCTAAAGTAATTTGCCGGAGCTTACGAGGTGATGGAAAAGCGACCACAGACTGGGACCGACCCCTTTCGGAGTAAGATGGCGAATAATGGGTTGATGAACAACAGAAGGAAAAACATAAAGAAAAAAAATGGGTAAATGGGGCTCATCGACTTCCAGACAAGCCGTTGCTCAGTCTAGAGTATCATAATCTGAGGAACCTTTGGAGAACTACTCCCTTCATATTTCATTTGTCATTGTTGATTATTGGGTCCACGTATGGACCGTCAAAAATTGCAAAGCCGGCTGTATTTCAAGCCGTCTTGCGGGGTATTGGGAAAAGTTTTCAATCAGCAATAACCGCGCCTCGGATAAACCTCACTGGCTACGGTAATGCCACTGCGCAAAGCTAATGATGTAGAGGGTTCAGCGGTCATTAGATAAAATCAATAATGTTGTCCATATGGGATTTATAGTTACCAGTTCCTCTTGGTTTACTCCGGAAAATTCTTTTTTTTTCAGTTTTTTTGATACATCATATACAAAAATAAGGCGATTATATTGGGTATGATTGTCTTTTTCGCATACGTTTGTTACTGAATTGTAATTTCACAATTTTAGTAATTTTTTTTAAACCCTACTACGCATGCGCATCGCTTATGAAACACCTTCTCCCAGCGCGGTGGTTAACCTTGTGTATAATTCTTACTTTAAATAAAACATTTTATCACCTATTTTATTTGGTGATATTGAAATGAGAATTTTAGTTGATGATTGCCTTTTTGGCCACACATGACAATATGCGTGACAAGACACCGCTCGACTGTCGTGACTGACAGGACACAATTTGCATACGCTTCTGTAAAATGCAAATGAGTGTAGAGATAATATCACTGTTGTGACATGCGTGCTCGAGAAGTTGCTTTTCCCTACAAAATTGACGATTACGAAGCTTTAATTTCTTCGTGTTCTTCTTGATAAATGTTCGAATCGATCATGGCCGTACTTAAAATTATTTCTCGTCAACTGTGGTGCGGGTTGACTTAGAAATATGATAGTGGTATCCCACAATGATCACAAAGACGTGTCTATTGACATACAACAAATTGTTCTAGTTCAATAACCTCACGTTGGTTATTGACTTTTAAATTTCTCCAGAACGGTGGTTTTGCCGCAAGGTGAAACCGCCCCTTTTTAAAGATGAAATGGAACCAGAAATACCAGATGACAAAATCTTGAACTAGGCCGTAGTGTCTTTTGAAACCGTAACACTTGACCAGCGATCGCGGCCGTGTCGCAATTAGAGACGGACAATTACTTTTCTAGAGGGGTGTACGAGAAATTTTCTTCTGCAAACATTTTTTTAAACATATACGTCCCCGCAAACATTTTTTTCCAACATCATCTTCGTGCAAACAATTTTTTTCCATTTTTTTTCAGTGTTCTTTTTATTTGTGATTAATATTACCATTGCCTTATTGAACTGTTTCACGAAGAAGGTAATCAATAGTGCTATAGCCCCTTATATTGTCGATATGCGCTCCACTCACCTTTTAAACATTTTTGGCGGCTACTGACGTAAATAAAGGGCATACATTTTTCAGTTGTCAACGTGTGCGTAATTTTTGTCAAGAACTACAGCTGCTTGAACCATTTTGTCTATAATTTTTTAGAATTTATTCGTTTATATCGTTCATGTCATTAATTCATTGACTTCTGAAATATGCGTTATGCAGCAATGATAAATAAAGCTAAGATTGAAAAATTTAATTTGTTTAATACAATTTTGAGAAAAATACCTGATATATGAAGTTTTGTAATTGGACAAAATGTTGACAAGTAACGTTGAGATTTAATTGCCACAATAAATTCACATTCATTTTTTCAAGAAATATTCAGCTATTTTCAGATTTGTTATTTGCTTAATACAGTGACCACTTTTTAGTGCCCAAACTTTGTTAATTTTTAAACTAATGCTTCAATTTGTTACTTTATTTTTTTAATTTCAGTTTTGGAAATAATACTTTTTAATATCTTACCTGACTTCTCTGAGAACATTTTTTTAACCCTATCACGTTTGCAAGCAATTTATTTTGTCTTTTCAAACCCTGCAAACAATTTTTTCAATACTTTTCTTATACTCGTCCTCCAGAAAAATAATGGTCCGTCCCTTATGTATACGGGCGAGGACAAGGGCTATATTTTTTGTCAGGAGTCGGCTTTAAAGTACTCTTAGTGATTTTTGCTCTAAAGAGGTGAAGGGCTGGTTTGCTCGCGGTTACATAGGGTTTAATTTTCTCCATGTTTTCTCCATAGGATGTCAGAAAAAGTCAGCCACTAGATATAACTAAGAGCAGGACTGAGGGAAGATGATCTACTGAATGGCTCGATGTACTGTCAGGCTGGGTGCAGTAAATGTGAAAATTTAAAAAAATTCTCATCCCAATATCATTTTTCATGAAATGAATCGTAATAATCTTGTTTAGTGAGTTATGTAAAATTGATGTCCCTTACGCAATTCGTACTTGGCGTGAATTGTGAATATTGCAAGCATTTAGAACATCGGCCGGAAAGGATCATGAAAAGAAAAAAGATTTCAACAACAATTTCGTTTGATAAGCGTGTCTCATATCCAATTTCGGCTCAACACACTTGATTCCTAGCATAGTTACGTTTCTCTCTCTCTGGAATTCGCCCTCACGTTGAGTCATTTAGGTCAAACACCCTAACCATCCCTAACCATAACTAATTTCATAACTGAAAGGTGCAAAGAGTACGCCTATGATTCTTGATTTGGGAGTCTTCCACTACCTCAGCGTTTTACTATGTTGCGAATGGGTTGGCTTTGAATGGTTCCGACAGCCGACGACTTTGAACCGCAAAAAGATCAGATTAGAGCTTACGAGGAAATTGGAGGGGGGGGGGGCGAGGGGGGGGAGGGAGAAGGGGAGGGTGGATGTCAAGATTGGAGAATGCTACCGAACAGCGTCGGTATTTGAATTGAGACTTGACTGAAATAAAAGTGATTTGGCGCCATTTGGTGCTAAGCGAGTTGTTACCGTAAATCAAGTAAAGTACGAGTGCTTTCACGATTCGTTTAAGTAAACTGAAAGTGCCGTATTTACCCGTGTATAATACGCACTTTTTTCCTATGAAAATAACCATCAAAATCGCGGTGCATATTATACACGGTTTCTATTGTTTTTCAAGCACGTCCTAATTTGCATACGTTAAAAACACAACAAAGAAAGTAACAAAAGCCATGTAGTAATTGGTCTTTATTGGCTTGAGTTAAATAATCTACCGATGAAACATTTCCAATTTCGATCCACAAACACAACAAAGAAAGTAACGAAAGCCTCGTAGTAATTGGTCTTCATTAGCTTGAGTTAAATAATCTACCAATGAAACATTTTCAATTTCGATCCATAAATAAATTTAGTAGAGTATTTAAGAAACAGCTGACGAGATAAACATTACGATCGTACCGTATTACTGTAATCACAAGCGATAAGAAATTCGAAATGGTAACGAAACTTACCACTGCGATACGTCAGTTGTAGGAAGAATTAACGTTTTTTTGGCTGTGAAAACATTTTTTTATGAAAAATTTGGTCAAAAATCGGGGTGCGTATTATACATGGGCGTGTATTATACATGGGCGCGTATTATACACGGGTAAATACGGTAAGCAGAGTAAGCACCAGACAGATCAAAGAAAGATTATGGGGAGATATTTGTGAGTTTTGTAAGTTAAGCATTGAAAGACGATTCACAGATAACATATCACAATCTTCTCTGAAACGGAAGCCCATGTTACGATCGAAAAAAGTTTCATTCCTAAGAAATCAGCTGAAATAAATTCGATGAGGTTGACGAAGTTGCTTGCGGAAAAAAAAAACACTTGTCAATCATCAGCTCTGGCAACAGGTGTAATTTTAAGACAGGTCTTCAGTATATAAATTTCCCCTCAGCAGGTGACAGGAAATTATGATGGTTCTTTCCCACTTGAGCTGTTAAGTAGCATCAGAGAATTATTTCACGAATTTGTTTTCACATTTCTAACTATCTTCTCCAGTACGTCGGTGGACTTTTTTCTTTGTGTTCGTTATGTTGTTAACAAGTGTCGGGAGCGTAATTGTGAGCGAAATGTCGGCACATTTAGAAGGGATTTTGGAAACAGACTTTTCAGAAACAGACTAAGTCACCCTGCCAGCAAAGCGCTAACTATAACCAGCCCCTCTTGATATAATTTGACAACTAATCAATTCGCTCATGAACAGTCAATCAGTCAATTAGCAATGGTCTCGGTCAACTCTGTTAAAGCAATTTTTTTACTATAACAAGATCAAGTGTCTCGAACTCGCAGATTTCGCAAGACATTGTCTGCAAGGGTCAGAAATAAAGCTCAGCAACAGCTGGAAGCTTAACGGATTTCCTCTTTGCTATTTGAAGTATTTTGCTGAAGCTTATAAAAAAAACGTGGGTGGTGTTTGGTATGTTTTAAAGGTAAACGATGGAATCCTTGCTGAGAACTGGAAAAAAATCGCCACTTTTCCCCTAGCCAGGATTTATGTCACCAGCCACAAATAAAAGTTTTTCTTCATGTTTAGAATCAAGTGATATAAAAGATTATTTACAGAAATTTTTTTCACTTTTATGCAACGTTTTGCTTCCGTCGGCGCTTGAAGTTGTCATCAGGTTTTTGAAGCACGTATAATATTTCGGTTAAACGAGTCAAGTATTTATTCAAGCTCAGTTTTCGAGGAACGTAAGCTAAGCTTGAACGCAGTGTTTTTCAACCTACATCGACTAAACATCATGTAAAATCGCCTCGTCTTGAACGCAGTCATGATGCAGTTAAGCGTCTCGAATGAAACCAAGGATCTCGAAGAATCCGTCTATTTCAAGAAGTACACTCTCGCGGTTTTCGGGGATTCTGGAGTGGGAAAAAGTTCCATTGTCCGTCATCTTGTGGGTGAGAAGTATATACCCGATCACTTGCCTACGGTTGAAGAATTCTACATTAAGCCAATAACTCACAGAAACAGAGCTTACGAGCTTCAAATCATCGACACATCAGGAACGTACGAGTTTCCTGCCATGAGAAGAATTGCTATCCATAAGGCCGACGCAGCAGTTTTGGTGTATTCTCTGGACAAGCCAGAATCCTTCACGAAGCTGGAAAGATACATGGATGAAATCGAGAGCTGTTGCGCCGAAAGAAACCGGAAAATTCCTGTCATTATTGTGTCTAACAAATCAGATATTCCTAATTTGTCGGAGCCAACGTTTGTCAACGCGAATGGACTAAAAATTAGCGCGTGTGTCTACCTGGAGGGGAAATTTAAGTGCCAATGGCTGGCTACTTCGGCCAAATTCAATCTCAACATTGATTCGATATTCCACAAAATGTTGGACAAACTGAGTCCGGATAAAAACTTAGTAAGGAAGAAAAGTAGTATCCTTAAGCAAATTCTGCGTTAACTCGACGCTAACATTTTCAACTTCTAAGGAAATATTGCCGAGCGTATACGATATGTTGCCCATGCATCGCCGGTATTCGGCGAAAATACATCCATAAGCGCTTCATTTCAATTAACAGAGACTGAATTACGTCAGTCCATTTGTAATAATAGTTCATGTCAATGCTATTCCATTATAGTTTGCTCTGTTTTTTCATGTTTGTCTAGAAATCGCCACTCGTGTTGTAGCACAGTATAAAATTGGTACTTACGTGTAAAAGGTGGCAGATTTCAAAACAGTTATATTCATTTGCACTTACTCAATCGGAAAAAATCGCTAAACTTACAAAATTTATATGATTTCATAAAGCCCAGATCTCAGAGGCAATAGTTAACGATCAGCTGAGAGTCATAGTTCCATCTTTGAACAGAATAATTTCTCGTGTTACAAACTATGAAAAAAACCCCGGAAATTTACAATTTCAGGGGTGTTCTTCGAAATTAGGTCCTCAGACTCAACAGAGTAGACTCTCGAAATTGTTTCCTCGGTGTTTTGAGCAGTTAAACTGACTGATTTTTAAAATGACAGTCGACGAGAAGGATTGAAAACAGTTGTTGTTGTGCGATGTTTACGCAAGACCTAGTTTATATCTTCCTGTACATATCTTTATCTCCCAGGATTAACGTTATCCTCGTCTCGGGATATCCTTTTGGAAATTAGGTTTGTTCGGAATTAATTGATCTTTTCCAATGAAATAATTAGTTTTCTTTTTGTGTGAAATTATATGCTTTATGGTGGTTTTTGATAACATGGCATGCCTGACTTAAATTAAACGATGTACAAAGGTTGCCATTTGTTGTGGAACGGAAGACATGGGCTCAGATAACTAAGGTTGGTGTCATTTTGGGCATAATACTATATTCAGAGCATCGAGAATAATATCAGCATCATAAATAAAATTTTTTTAGCATACATGTGACTATTTACATGTAACAAAGCACGCAGGGGAGAAACACTCGACTACGTCTCGTGCTTCTCCCCACTTCTTAAATGGGGTTAAATGGCTTTTATATGCTCTCAAATTAAGTATAAAAAGGAGCATTATATAAATTCATAAGCATAATTTTGGAAATACGTCTATGTTTTCCGGGGTGACGCTCAAAAGCATAAAGCTCGAATTTTCGAGCATGATATTTCTGACCCTAGGAACACTTCGAAAAGTTCGAGATCATTCTTTTAGTCACGCGAAATGTCTGGAAGTCATCCAATTAGGAAAATTTCGTAGATCGAAACTTGAACGAGTGAACATATTTAAGTCCAAACACTCGAAATAAAAGTCTAAAGTACGAACATTTTGACCAACTGTCTTCCTCAATATAACAACGATTCAATTTTGTACAAAAATTACTAAAAAACACGTTAATATTTCTCTCCTCGGTGACAGAGAAATATTTCACTTAACAGAGTCTACCTCAATGCGTAAAAATTTAACGAGCATTCTAAAACTGCTTCCCAAAATAGACTTTAAATGAGGACGTAAAAATCCCTTAAAAAATTAACCCTTCCAACAGACTAAAATTCTTATCTCAGAATTTTATAATCTATAAACGCGTGTGTTTCTTTGCAAACAAGCCCACTGCTGTGGAAATTGCTTAAGTCCTGGACAATGATTCTACTACGCTCGTAGTTTGGTATCAAAGTCTACTTTTACTTCAATGGTAACGAATTCCCAATCTCGCATTTTCCAAAAATAAGCAGCGTAAAAGTTAGATTTCCCCTTACAAAAAGTGACATTTTTTAAAATCCGTCTTTTTTATGTGTTCTATACGATTTTTTTTTTTTTTTTTTTTTTTACTTATTGAACTTTATTCCAGAAGTTAGTGGCTTATTCAGTCCAAAATCCTTCCCTTTGGCCCTCAGTCTATCTTCAAGTTTCCATTCATTTCTTGACTCGATTTTTTCTCGATCCCTTCTTTGCTCTCAGCAGAAGGCAGTAAAGACAAGCTCAACAAATATTCGTAGAAAAATTCTTGAAGCAAACCACTGAAAAACCAAAGTGGCGCGTATTCGAGCGCGATCAGCCCCATGATGTCATACTTGTAATGGCTGTAGTCCCAGGTACGCGCGGAAAATTGATTGAGGACGAGGCCACCAAAAAATTCCCACGTGTAAGCCATTTGAACCCAAATTAAGCCGCGCCAAAATACCGATAAACGATTTCTTATGTGGACGTATACTTGTTCACCGCAAAAACTACAGGTGCCATAAATAAAGAAGGACCAAATGGAAGAGTATCCTTTGAACTTGAAGTCGGTGAAATTGGAAGCCACAAAGTCAAACAATGAAGTGAAGACTATTTCATAAGCAAATCCAAGCATGCCGTATATAAGCAGCCGAAACCAAGGGTTTACAGCCATGATGTACTCACGAAGAGAAAAAAATTACCTAGAAGAGAGAGAAAGAATTAAAACGTTCGTGATTATTACAGAAAGGGAGGGATACATAAGTGTGTTATTAACCGATAGGTCAATGTAGCTGAATACTGCCCTCTTTTAATCAGAAATTCTATGGACTGACAGGATGTCGTGTCCCAAAACCACAAAGGGTACGCGGTCAATATTCGCGGTCAATATTCGCCCTTTTGATCAAACAAGTTTGAACAATAAATTATTCATTACTGGCACAAAGATTCCACCAATAAATGTAAAAAGAAAAAAAATCACCACACTTACCGGGGTTTTCTTTTATACAAATTAGTAACAATTTCTATCGTTAAAGCCTAATAAACCCGCCCGTCAAACAAAAAAAAACTGATACCACACGGAGCCGATGAAAACTCAAAGTAAATACACGAAGGCGAAAATGATTATAAGTAGTTAGATACATTGTACTTTGTGTTTGCCTCCATAGAAATAGTATTGGAAAATATCCAATCAATTATGTTTCGAATCGTTGTGATTAAACACTGTTTGACACGGTAGGACACCTTTAAAACACTAATGTCTCGCAGAAATACTTTTTCTGAACCAGTTAATCAGAAAAATGCAAGTACGGAGTCCCCCACTTTTACTAATGAACGATTTACACCGGATGAAACTACTCTGTAAAGTATTTTTCAACATCAAAGATCTATAACAGGCTGACAATTATTTCCAAGGCAATAAAACAGCTTAACAGGTAATATATTGACAAACACAATGCCTATTGTGTCAGAAAAATCACACTTTTCATCGTGAAATTAGGACTCACCAAATCAACAACTCCGTAGAAATTTCTGCCAAGTGCCTTTGACCAGTAACCACCGAAGTTAACGATACCAACATTGTATTGGCGATAGTAGAATCGCGACGATTTTCAGTAGCAATAAATTATTTTTAATCCATGTGCTTATTTCGGTTTAGCTGAGAGGTACTAAATTTTGTTTTGTCATTCACAGATGGAGATTTTATCACATTTGAGCAGTTGTTTGTTGTGCAAATACTACTAAATTTCACGGTCTATGACCGAGGTGTCATAAATGACTCGTGGTAACCAAACGATTCTAGGACAAAGTATAGCAGTTACGGGGCAAAAAAAAGCAGAAGTCTTCATAAATGGTGAATGAATAGTGGTTGTACTTTGAAAGAGTCAATTAAGCTGTCATACGTTTCAGTTCCGCCCGGCTTGCTGTGAAAATTTTCAATTTATTTAATCGCCTTTCCACCTCACGAGTCCCACGCAAACACGATTTATCTATTTTTACAGAAGATTAGACGCTGAAAATGGAGTAAATAATAATATCCTTACCTGTGTGAGAGGTAATACCTCAATTTGAACAGCAAGCAATTTTGCGAACAACCGGCGGTGCTTGTCGAGTAATGATGAGTTAGTAAACAAAGTATTACTACCGCGTAAGACTAGAAACTACTTATTCCCAGTCCCCAGTCTCTTTCCTATCATTGCGAAAAAATGGCGGTCGTTGTAAATGGTGATCCCGAGTATTGTTATTAGTTTTTTCGTTATGGCGAGTATGAATCCGAAAACTTCACCGTTTCCAGGTGGTTTTGACCTTCGGCATCGTCTTAAGTTCACTCAAGAGGGTTTAGAAGACGATCTGTGGTATGTAACGCATCTTTCAATGAGGTAAGAGCATATATGCATTCAGTTGCACGAACATTTGCAAACTCTCATGTTCTTCTGGTACAAACAATCTGTTTGCAAATGTTATAAATTATTTTTGATGAAAGACTGGTGCAGAGTATAGCTTCTTTCAAGAGATCTATTAAATTTCGAAATCAGTGGGAACATATACAACATATATAGCATATAATATATAGATTTAACCAAGCCTAAAAGCGGAGCTCGCATTTTTTTTCCTGCACGTCCCAAGGGCACAACGCCTTGCCCCGGCCAGGACTAGAACCCGGGTCGTCCGCCTCGGAGCTCAGTGCACTGACCACTGGACTACTGGAGAAAGAGTGGCTTCGGCGTGCCCGCGGTACAGTTGACCACGCATGTTAAAAGTAGCATCTTGTACGGTCGGTCGTACGGTCGTAAGTCCAAATTTTTTCGGCTTGATGGGTTACTACTACCATTTTGTATAATTATGGGGCTACGCTCTGTGAGCTCCACTATTATTAAAATTAATTAATTGATAAATTGTTAAATTAATAAAATTAATAAATTATCATTAATAATAAATAAATTGATTAATTAATATATATATCTGACTAGCAAATGGGAAGTCTTAGGGCATGCACAGGAACCCATTGTCATTTATTTTTCTTAAGCATTTTGAAAGTTTATTTTATGTCGTAAGGGTAGCATTAACACAATTATTTTTTATTATTTTCCATACTCCAAACATTTATATTCCGCTGTTTTCCTTAGCTTGTTTCTATCTTTTCCACAATGTTTGATAGGGCTTTTATATATTACAATTTCAGCCCAAAACAAGACGTGTTTGCAGTTGGAGGTAACAAGAGTGTAGATTAGTTTATTGTTTTTATGTTTTTATAGTTATCTCAAGCTGAGATCCAGACCTGAGTGCCAGCCTGACTGAGACCTTATTTCGTAAAAATTTATTTAGTTATGTATTTTAACATTCATGTGGATTAATTAGTTTTCATTTTAATACCTATTCATAGGACCACAAGGCTCTATTAAGCTTTTAAACATGGACACCCTTCTTTATGTTGCAGATTTTAAAGGTGAAGTTTTTATCTCATTATTAAATGGATGTTCAATTGATATAATAAATACTTTATGTTATTTTCACTGTGCCTACATAGAGGCTGTCCTAATAGAAAAACACAAAAGTCCTAATGTTTCTTTTGACCAGCAGTGACTGAACAGATGAGGGTTGGATAGATTTTCCTTTTAATCTTATTTTGAGTTTGGTTCAGTTTATAGTCTACACATATTTGTTTACACTCTTATACAGCTTTCAAAATAGATGAAACAAAGAAATTTTAAGTGGTTGGCTTGATATCTTAGGAAAATTGGAAAAACTAGAGCATACTTTAAATAACTCACCCAGATGATTTCTATTGAAGCATAAGATAGAGAGATTTTTACATCATTGTATATTTCACTTTTAATTAACAGCTCATTCTGCAAGGATTACAGGTATAGAATATTGTCATACTAATGAACACTGCTTCTGGTCCACATCCATGGATACTGCGCTTAGGTTTGTAAATTAATCATTATAGCAGCTCTAAAGGGATGCTTACATGCACAGGCATGATTAGAGACTTTAGTAATGGAAAATTTTTGTGATTGTGCAATGCTCCTTCTTAAAAATTTCTTTTGAAAAAATGAGAAAGTAACTGATGATTTACAATAAATGGCTTCCGATTACAGTCACAATCTTCCACCTATGTCATTGTTTGAAAGGTTTGATATTTACTACAGAAGTTTTTGCAATCCCAGATTCAATTTTGAAGTACTCGTAGTTGAGACACTGAATTTTTGGATGGCTGATTGCTTCCCCCATAATGATGAATTATTTTAACTCTCACTTTTTTTGTGATTTTGTTTTTATTTAATAATTAGTTACTGGGATTCAAGAAAGGCATTTAAAGCACCAGTTTACAGGATCCTGAGTATGTTATAAAATTATCTTTGCATGATTATTATTACAGGGTATTTACCGGTAATCATTTTTGATGAGAATCCTACATTCCACAATGTGATCTTTTTTACAAGATCTTGTTATTTATTTCTTGAGAATTCCCTTCTGACTTAGTACAGGAAGCAACTATACATTGATAATTGATCTTATCAATAAAGGGCAAAATTACTGAGCGCTGATTGGTTGAGAGAGAGGGCATTTTTTTCTTAATCAAGGGCATTTTTAGTAATGCATGATTACCTGTTAATGATTGGCTAATCCGTTGCATTGCTAATCCGTTGCTTCCCAGATAAAAATAGACTGCGCGCGCGATTTTCCTTCGTATAAATTTTGCCCTTTATTGATAAACAAGTAATCCCATGAGGCCAAGTACTATTAAGGATTAATTGCAGTTTCCAGAGCCCCAGGCTTTCACCATAACAATTGTTTCCAGTACCATGCTGTAACATGTTCACAAAATAATGGAACCCAAAAAAAGTTTCTCATTGACACATTCAGCCCTATTGTTTAAAATTTAAGTGAAAGGTGTTTTCTTGCTCTGATTTTTAGTCAAGAAATTCTTCAGTTTTGAATCTGCTTATTTATTAAGTTAGATCAGTTGTCTAAGTTCTCTCTTGTTTGCCATCTTGTATCATTCCCATAGTGCATTGCATGTTACCAGAGTTGGTGGCCCTCATGTTCAACAATCGATATGGTGTCAAAGGACTTTGGCTATTTTTGTTATGAAAGTATCCAAGTTCCATTTTGATGTACTTTAAACAACAAGTGATCATCCTGTCTCCTGAGTTCAAAGATATTAATGATGGGTTCCCCATGAATTTTCACAGAACCAAAAAATAGTTACAGATGGGTTCCCATGGTCTTTAAGCACAAAACCTAAAAATTGTTCTCAATGGAATTTGAAATCCTAGGGTTTGGTTTCTAGAGCATGAAGCTACTAGGAGTATATTAATTACTTTCGCCTGGATGGGAAAACAACCTTTTATAAGGTTACCCCTAGGCTTTTTATAGGCTTCTCTGACAATAGGCCATTTTACAGTTGTGTACTTAAAGTTGCCAAGCCTTTGAATTTGAAGGTGACCTTGTTGTGATAGATACCAGTATCTAGTTAGAATCCTAACAAAGTAATTTACATTCGAAAAGCAGCAATGTTTGTATCATAACAAGGTCAACCTTAGCTTTACTCCTATTCAAAGGCTTGGCAACCAAGCACATAACTGTAAAATGGAGGTAAAGGGTCAAACCCAGAGCTCTGGACTTGGAGTCCCTCCAAATGATCTTCTCATGATCATGTTTGTATAATTCTAGGGCTGAGCTGCCTATCAGTGATTGGTGGACTTGATTCCCTTACCTCCATGTAATCAGGCTCAGAATGCTTTTAATGATAATGAGTTTTCTTTTCCTTCAGGCCCAAACAACTGCTCTTTTACTGCTTGTGGTTTGAATTGTTCAGATGAAATTGTTGCAGCTGCTACAGAGCCTTATGGTGAAGATGTCTGTCTCTACCTCTGGTAAGATCCTACTCATCAGCAAAAATGTATTTCTCTAGATGAATAAGACCTCATCAAGACATATGATATTCTCTCTTAACCCTTTACACCCTAACATCAATATGCATATTCTCCACATACCTTTCCAGACAGCTTTTATGGTGCTGACTAGGAGTATTTGTTTAACAGTCAAGAGCTGTTGATGATCATTTCCTTTCATCTCATGACTTTGATGTGTGATTCAGGGGTGATATTGTTAGGAGAAATTAGATTCTAGTCACTCTTTGTGGTCAAAGGGTTAAGAGGTGTGAGGTTTATGCTTATTTTCACCCCTCACTCCCCCACTTTCTTAAAATTTAAATGCTCGAAATTGAGTTCTTATGGACTTTTTTAAAATTTCCATTGAAGCTAAAATTATTGACCAAACAACAGATGAACAATCTTATCTTACAGCAGTTCTGTACACTCCCCCCTCTTTTAAATTCCTTGATGAGTAACTATTGGTATTGATTGAATTATATGAATCAGCTTTTACTATAAGTCCTAGTGGGGCAGGTGTTGCAAGACGAATCATGTAGTTTGAGTTTACCTGGGCACTAAGATGCATTCTCTGGGTGGAAAGTAAGTGTTATCTCAAATGACACGAAGTGTTATCTCAAATGACATGAAATAAATCTTATTTGACCTCTGAGTGACATGTGACCAAGTGTTCCTTAAGGGTAACTGCAGTTACTGTTGGTAATAGCAGAGAGTTAAGCCCAGTTTAAGAACCTGGGCTTTGCCATGGCTTGAATTCATTCCTTCTAGATACCCTTTGGGTGCTACCACCAACTGAGCTATGGAACCTCAAAGTTGGGATTGAGGAAAAGTTTAATGAATGCCTTTTTTTTTTAAATTCTGATTTCTTAGTAACTTACTGTCAATTTCAGCGCACGCATTAAAGCAAAACGCCAAGCCAATTTCCAAAGAGAAAAGGTCACAACAAGCAGAACTGTTCATCACTGGAAACTGAAAATTATTGTGTGAAACATGGTATTAATAATGATTAAGTGACAAAAATTGCTCCATATTTGCCCTGGCACTAATGCATACTCGTCAACTAAGCGCTTTAGCGACTAAGCAATTTGCAACAAAGCAGATGCTTCTTGCTAAACCAACCCAATAGTGCAGTTTCATTGAAAATTTCTGCACAAAATTGCGAATTCATTATCAGTCTCTGAATTTGGTAAGGTATGGACCAAATGCAGTGACACTGCACATGGTTGATACAGGTTTCCCTTACAGATTGTTTTGCTCTCTTTGGGATGTTTGGTTGTTAAGTTATTAATTTTTGATGAGTGAAGGGCATGGTAGTGGTCTGTGGCTTGGGTCAGGTTGTCAAAACATGTTGCTGCTGCTGATAACAGTCCTCTGCAGGACTAATCCCTCACCCATGCGATCAGACTTTGTGATCATGAATAATCTTAGGAAAGCACAAGAGGTGTCTTATGATGAACGAGAAAGGGGCTGTACAATATTCCTATCCTTACATGCTTTGGGACTTGTCATAATCCTTTGTATTATTTACTGGTGGTGACCATGGAATATTCACGTAATGCTGATGAAGCACATATTTTTGTGTATTAAGGAAAAGATCAAGTCAAGATGATCTGTTTACCAACAATTCATTTATTCTTTTCATAGGGATATTAGACAACTTAATGCTGAAAAGTTGCTGCAGACTCACATGGATATGTACACAGACTCGCATAATAGTGAAATTACTCAGGTATCACTGTAGCCTGTAGGGATGGTGATTTATCTCTTGAGCTTTTCTCTCACAGTGCCTCTCTCTGCCCAAGGGTATAAATATTTATAATAAAAACTAATAAATAAATAACTATTTGTATTCAGGAAGGTTTCTAGTTAAAGCCCTCCTCAGTTGTCTGTAGTTGAAAATCCAGTTATACAAGGCTATGTGCCAGAATAACAAACTGTGTCAAAGCTCAAGGCATATGGTTTCATAGATTTAATTTACATGTGTGTTTACTGTTTACTATTTACTTAATGCAGATCCAGTTCAGTCCACTTCAGACTCATCAAATGGCAACTGGCTCCACTGTATGTACAGTTTTTGTATTATTTTAAATTGAAATAATAAATACTGATGAATAATTAGGAAAGCCTTAAACTAACGATAGTTCTGATCAATCAGGGTTTTGGTGTCCACGAAAAGAAGACATTGCGAGCATTTTTGGCCAGAACTTCCATTCCAGATCCCATCAACGGTTTTTCATGCTCAAATTTGTATTCTCTCTATGCTTTCCTGCTTTTTGCTGACCAAAAAGAAAAGGAAATTGTATTAAGACTTCTCTATACTCCTCTACTAATGGAAATTTAACTGCTTTTGTTGTCACTGATGATTACAACCTAACATCAGTATGTATATTCTCCCTACTGTCCTATGATACTGACAAGGAGATTTTCTTTAACCCTTTAACTCCATGAGTGACCAAGACAATATCAATATGATATCAATCAGAAGCATGATAAGAATTTAAGTAAAGTTATCAATGAATGGATTATTAGTTGATCTCATACCAAATTCTCTTAGCTACAGCTACTCTAATTCACTGAGGTACAGTAGCTTACAGTACTGTAACTATTAGAATTGCACAGTCAATAGTAAGGAGAATTTCCAATGAGATCTTGGGAGTGAAAGGGTTGGTGATCATTTCTACTCTAGTGACCCCAATGTTTGATTCAGCAGTAATATTATAGGGGGAAATTAGTCACTCTTAGGGTGTTCAGGATTAAGGGACTGCCGTAAGTTCTTTCATCTTACGGTGTAACTTACTTTTATTGATGTTTTTCTACAGGATGGTTTGATCTGTTTATTTGATGTATCTAAAGGAAATGAAGATGATGCCCTGGACTCAGTACTAAACACAGGATCCTCTGTGGTATGTGCTTTGATAAATGTTTAATCATAAAATGGGGTAAACAAGAGTAAGACTGCCTTTGGGTAGATTTGAGGAAAGCCAAGAAAGCCTTAGTCTTAGAAAATATTAAAATTATGTTTTTTTTTTTTTTTTAATATATACTTTTGTATCAAAGGAGTCCTACAAGCACTTGTTAACCCATTGTTGGAAAGAGAGTCAGAGAGTGTGCACTCTCACTTCAATAGTAATATTCCCTTTTTCAAAATTCTTTGGATTAATCCCTCATGTTTTTCATGCATGCAAAGCTCCAGTTGATAAGGGGTCTCAGGTCAAACAAGATACTAAGAGGCTGCTATGTTTGTCTCAGAAATAATTAAAATTTAACAGCTCCTCACCACTTAATTCATAATGCAGAAACTACATATGAGAACTGAGAGGAGTGTGTAATCTGCTGAGTGACTTATCTTGAGCCTGCAAGAGATTTAGCCTGTGATTATTATTGATCATGTGCAGATAAGCTGAGATTAAACTGAACTAAACTGAACTGAATTGTCATCTTGATTTTGTTTTGTCCAAACTTTGAGTATTTTCGTTGTGTTGCTGTTGTTTAAACCATGTTTCAAGCTTGTGATTACATCAAACTGAATGTTTACACAAGAAACTTACATAAATAAGCCAGGGCATGTTAGCTTAATACAGTAAGAGCCTTTTCTCATCTGGTTTGATGTGAAACGAGTTCACTCTTCTTTGATGCTTTTGTCATGTTACTTTTTAGTGATTGAAAAATTACAATAAATTTTTTGATGATGTTTTTGTGGTATGTTTTTGTAATCAAGGTTTGGCTGATAACCCTTAGTGGGACCTTGATTATTCTGGATATCACAAAAACTAAATCTAATAATTATTTTATGATACATTGAATGAAAAAAAAATGGTCTGAAGAAACTGGACCTGATAATTTATTTGTGAACATGTAAAAATATACAAATCAACAAGCCACACAAAGGGCAAGAACTTGACATGATTACCCTTAGAAATCATTTAAAGTGGTCATACATGAAATGATTACCTGTGAGCTTGAGTGTCCTTGACATGATTATTGTACAATCTGCAGCCATATGTGGATGACATCCTGGGTGCTGATTTCAAAAATCCATTGTATGCTTTCGGCCTATCAGAAAAGAAATAGTGATTTGAATGTACAGTAATGAACTATATTCCTTTCCTTGTAGAGTCAAATTGGTTATTTTGGTCCAAAGTTGGCAGACCTCTATTGTCTGACTCATATTGAGACTCTTCAGCTGTGGGATACTGTTGAGGTATGGGTCTCTTTGGGTGTTTTGTTTGATATCACTGCATTTGGTATGCAGTAGACTTTATTTACGTCCAATGTCTATACTGAAATTAATGTAACATTATTAGCTCAAATGTTCTTTGAACTGTTCAAACAAGTATACACAGAACAAATTTAAGAGATCGTTGCAGCTAAGAACACTACTGAACTAGTAGTTGAAAATAGGACCTGAAAAAAATTCAGGCCCATTTTCAACTACTAGTTCAGTAGTGTTCTTAGCTGCGAGGATCTCTTAAATTCGTTTCTTCACCGCGATGCAAATATATGAATTTCATATATCTAAAATCATTATTCATCACCTGGATGGTTTATTTGGACCCAACATATTGATCAGCTCCCAGTTGGCTTGTTAGCTCAGTTGGTAGAAGGCTGCACCGGTATTGCAGAGGTCATGGGTTCAAATCTCGTACGGTCCTGAATTTTTTTCAGGTCTTATTTTCAACTACTAGTTCAGTAGTGTTCTTAGCTGCGAGGATCTCTTAAATTCGTCTCTTCACCGCAGTGCAAATATATGAATTTCATATATCTAAAATCATTATTCATCACTTGGATGGTTTATTTGGACCCAACATATTGACCAGCTCCCAGTTGGCTTGTTAGCTCAGTTGGTAGAAGGCTGCACCGGTATTGCAGAGGTCATGGGTTCAAATCTCGTACGGTCCTGAATTTTTTTCAGGTCTTATTTTCAAATACTAGTTCAGCAGTGTTCTTAGCTGCGAGGATCTCTTAAATTCGTCTCTTCACCGCAGTGCAAATATGTGAATTTCATATATCTAAAATCATTAAGTATACACAGGTTTTTCTGTAAACTTTGCAGTTTGTGCTCTACATTTGTAAGTTGCTCGTGAAGCCCGAAGAAAGAATTCGTAATCGGAGAGAGTAAGTGAGATGGTTGAGAGAACAGGAAATTTGCAGTAAGAATATGTGCTCGTCGCTGATGTGTGTCTTTCTTTCTCAGGGTACAATGACTACACATTTCACCAACCCCAGGGAAGAAAATGGGGTAAGCGTACGACCAGCTGCTCAAGATCAATGCAATAGTCTGATAAATTTCCTTGACTTTATTTTTACATTTATTTTCTTTTTTATTCTGTGCTATTTTCTGCTCTTTATTAACTACCAAACCAAAGTTTTGCTCAGTGAGTTTCCATTAATCCGCATAAATGTCAACTGGTGCACATCACTGGGTCTTTTATTGGTTTCCAGAGCAAGAAGCATGTGCAGTAAGAAGCCTCCCCATGGTGAATATTAACCAGTTACACCCTAATATCAGTATGCATATTCTCCATACTGTTCTCCATACATTTGCTAAAGTGCTGGAATGGAGAATTTGTTTTAAAAACGGGAGCCTCTGTAGTTAGTGATCATTTCCTTCATTATCTTGACCTTAATGTTTGATTCAGGGTTGATGTTGTAACAAGGAATTACACGCTAGTCTTTCTTACAGGTTTAAAGGTTAACTGTTAGTTATCGCTCAGCTGGTCATCGTTTTTTCTCTGACAGTTCAAGGGTCCTTGTGCACACTCTTGGTTAGAGAGAGGCAACAGGAGGGTTTTTACAAAGCACAATGGTCAAAATGACAAAGTCAATAAAAGTTCCTCCTATCTCCAGCTTAGATTATCACTAGTTTCAAGGTTTTACGTCTACCACCAAGTGGAGATTGGTAGAGTGGACGGAAAAATGTTACGACTTTTTCTCGTAACGACTCGATAAAAGACCCCTCCTGTGGAAGAGCAAGGTGTGATAACCAAGTAACCTCAATTTAAATGTTTGACTTCTAATTTGCAGACTGAAGACAATTTTGACTACTTCGTCAATTGCATCCATCACCCAACAGAAAAACAGTTGTACTTTGTTGGAGGCACAAACAGGTGTGTTTGCCAGATTTTTGTCTTCTTTACCCTAGTCACAGGAGTTTTAATAGAAGCCGTTTACCGGTGGTCCACCACTGTCTGTTGAGCCGGCCCTCGTGGTTGGGTTTCGAGCCGTCTCGTGTACCATCGGCAGCCACTTATGGAAAAAAAAATTATTGTCAACCCTTTAGTTTGTGTTATTTTCTTATGATGGACGATAAACAATACCCTGAGTATGTCAGGGGAAGAGTTGGTTTTCTCCTCTTAGTTGAGACTGTTTTAGACAGTCGCCTTTGATTTTCATGTTATGTCATCTTTGTTTCCGTTAGTGGCCGCCTTCATGTGTTTCATGTCAAAGATTCTGAGTTGGAGCCGGTTTGCCCTTTGATGGGAGGACACACTTCCACCGTCAGATGTCTTCAGTGGGATTACAAAGTTAGTATTTACAAAAAAAAACCGATGGTAAATTTCTTGCTATTCAAATGCACAAAATATTTTAAGGAATAACGTTTTCCTCTCTCTCAAACGTCTGCCTCTACGCTAACTGCGTTATTGATCTCCCTCCTATCCTGAATAGTAATGTTGTTGCTTTTATTGTAAAATTTGGGAAAGGAGTGAAAGGCGGGAATAGCATTGATGAAATGGGGAAGGGTGGAATGGATGTTCCCGATGAGGGTTCGAACCAATAATCTCCTGGTATTAAGCTTGAGTCTCTTCGAAACTTGGAAGAAATTCGCGACAGCAAGGGTCAGTGAAAGGAAGACTATGAAATGTTTAGGGTGGGGCCGCCTCACCATGAAGGAGCAGCAATATGCGCCTTGTCCATTCGAGCTTTGACGTAGCGATATGCTCTAACTTTGCGAGCAAATTTTCCCAAGCAAAAACTTCATGTTGCTGTGCTTTTCAATCGTGACTTTGGATTTCTTTTGTTTTCTCTTTTTCTTTTTCGATTTTAGTCTGAGACCCTTTTGACCGGAGGGGAAGATTCTATAATTTCCTGTTGGAGGTCTGCAAGGCCTCAGACGAGCGCGGCAGGCAAGGTGGGTAGATTATCGCGTTTCTCTTTCCTGATATGAAAAAAATGGATTACATCATATTAATTATGTTGTGTTGGCCTAATTAGAGCAACAAGCATATGGCGACGGGGGGGGAAAGAGGCTCATTAAATGGTGGCTGGAAATTATGGAAATTTATACTTATAAAAGTCAAACAGGAAATAAAATAATGCGAGAAGACTTTGTTACTGAATATTTTATGCAAAGGTGTACCTTACGTAAAAAACTTTCTACGTAACCGGCGAACTTGGGTCGCCAAATTTACAAATGTCGCCGTAAATTTAGTCGCCGTGGTTTGGAGCACTGGTTTCACACTCTCGCATTACTATAAAGTTGGGCACGCCTTGAGTATTTCTTATATCGCCACGTATGTAACTTCCAGAAATTGGCATTTTGATATCTGCACATGAACGAAACACCTAGATTTATGTATGAAACAACTGGATTTATTTCGCTCAAGCGCGCGCCATAAATCCGAGCGGCAACAAACCAGATTCCGTAACTAGCAGCGCGGACTGGGGAAACGAGGTTTGTGGAATATATTTTTTATCTCTGGGTTCGACTAGAGGGGGGGAAATATAATTCAAACAAGGTTTTGAATTCAGCAGGCCGCACAGTGAACATGGCCCGCTAAAGTAGCCAATCATAGCGCTCGTACAAACCAAGAGATATAGTTACAGTATAGTAATAATTGATTATCATTAATATACCTTTCAGAGCAAAGTAGGTTGTCAAATAGTGGCATAAGTTAATCTTGATCTCTAATTACACATTTTAGTATATTTTACGGTATTCTTGTTGTATATATTTCAGTCTGCAGACTGGCCTTCGGGATTTGACACAATTAACATTACGTGTCCATTCCGATTAAAGGGTCTTTTTCTGTTTTATTGGCGACTGACATGTATATATCAAGTTTGAGAGCTCTCTTTGTTAGTCTAGCAATGAAACTCTCAATCCACATACTTCTTTGAAATCAATCTTGACGCTAAGCTTGGCAATTAGGAAGTCCTTATTCAAGCTAAGGGTCAAATAGGGGATTTTTACTATAATCTGTAGAGGAACGCTTGGAATATTTATAAAGTCCAGATTGCGGATTGAGGAAGGAGATTGACCCCGGAAACAGAGGCCAATAGTGATCTCAATCTACTATTTTCCTAAGAAGTAATACTTCAAGATTTTGCCAATATATCTCGACTTGCAAGTGCTAATCTGATGTTCCTTCCCACTTATATTGTGAATAACGATCTTTGAATTTTTGGATTTCCCTTTTGCTCTGTTTTATTAATCCGGAAAGTTTTAAAGCAATGAAGAAATTCCATTCTTGGAAAGGTTTTAGTTACGTCTAAGAGCTAAGAGGAACAGAATTTCTCAGTCGTGGTTTTCAATTCTCTAAATTACTTGGTAAAGTCTTTCCTTTCCTTGAATTAGATCCGATATATGCTCGCTATTTTTGAATTTTCAAGCATTAGGAAAATCTTATACAACTATCCTACTAATACAGTTGAGCATTTACTTCCTAATGCTTTGACTTGTAAGGATTTGTTTCCTTGATAAATGGCAAAAACTAGAGTCATGACTGAGCAAACTTTCCACCAGTTGACCCGCCAAATTACCGAATATTTTCCCTCGCGCGCGAACTAGTCTAATTCTGTCACGTGACACAGTTTGCACAAACTAAAACGGCGAAATATTTGTGTTATTACACTGGTGATATTCCTCGAGTTTGAAACCTGCCCAATAAAATATAAATCTTCGTTTAAAGTCAAATTCAAGATTGTTTTGCTTTTGTTACAAATGAGAAACAAACCTATTTCATTCGCTCTCAAAGAGCGGTTTGGTTATAAGAGCTGATGATATCAACGGACAAGTACCGGGCATATTTTCGTGCCAAATGGGGAACCTTTTTTTATAGCGGTATCCACCTAAACCTCCAAATCAAAAACGCCGCAAAAAGACACTTCACATGCTGAAGGCCGAACGGTTGTTGCACAGCAGTGCTCATCCTCAAGCAAAGTTGTGCTTTTCGATTCACGTAAACGTTCCCCTCAGAGAACAAGTCTAAAAGTGGCACTATGATGAACTCGTGGATAAACTGTGCTGAGTCTAATTTGAATACACTTCTATTGTGCTGAAAGCCAAGGGTCATTTTTTTCATTTTGCCGGGTAAAATCAAAGGTTGCAAAATAAACCTGCTATTTAATTTCGATCCGACCAAAATTGGGAAATGTCAGTATTTTACATTTTGATCAATTTCGCGGTACGTATCCGACTTAAGTCCTTCCCAATTAATCGGCTCGCCATCTTCAGTAAGCTGCATGCTCTTCCTAGACTCGTAGGGCTTTTCTGATGAGACAAAATTTTGCATCTCCACATTACTCCTTCCAATGCTTTGCACATCCGCGACTAGAAAGGAAAACCGAAAGTTCGGTTCCCTCTATTGCCGTGAACCTGAACCGCTTGTGCCTTAAATTATCGGCTGTTTCTATCCCTTTGTTGTTGTCGTGTTCTTTTCAACTCTGTATTTAAAGGTACATTTACCACTTATACCGCTCGACGACCTGTTTATCACTAATTTTTTTGTCTTCCCCCACTGTTAAATTTTTGAAGGAAGATTGTGAGCGTGTTTACAACAAAGGTTTCAGTTTGTATTTGAACTACTATCAACCCATTATCGCTAGTAATACTGTTATTGTTGTACTGCGTCATCTTAAATTATTTTTTTATTCATTCCTCGATATGCCGGCTGATCGACAGACTTAGGCCGCCATTCACTGCATGGTGACTCGAGAATTTCATTAAATGTAGTGTTTGGCATATTTTTCCCTGCTGCTTTGTCATCTTAACCTTGGCTTTCAAACAAATTCAAACTTAGCCCAAGGTCGTGCCAAATGATTTGAAATTGCATTAGCTGATTATACATATTTTGCATAGATGCACTTACCGCTGCTTGTTTAAGAGTCAGATGTCACCAGTCTGGCTGTACAAACTTAACGACAAGCTCGAAGAAATGTTTAGATCTGTTAACACCGGAAGGAAACAATGTAAAGCACTTACAAGTCGAGTTTTATTTGACGTTTTTCCGTTACAGGCTGAATCAGGCATGAAGGACAAATTAAAAGTTCACGGAAACAAGCCTTACAACAAACCGGCCGGTGACGCACAAGAGACGTAACCGCGCGTGATCTGTTGGCAGCGCTCGACAGCGCTTCTGAAGCTGTAGAGGCAAATACCGTCTGGGAAGTCACATCACTTTAAGGAGGAAATACTTCGACACATTCGAAACTGCTGAGCACTAATGCGACTATTTCGAGTTTGTCGCTCGAAATCCGTTCCAATCTTCTCCGTACTTAAACATCGGCGTTCCTCTTTCACTCATTCTTACTTCTTTGGTGTTTATCTACACAAGCAAACGGCTTCTATTTAATATTTTAAAGTAACTTCCTTACGATAGTTTGATGCCAGTATTTTTTGCAACGTCAAAATTAGCTTTTACTGATTGAAATAGGAAGAAATTCGAGTATAGTGACTAAATCGTTTAAATGAACTCTGAACCGAACCTAGGAATCAATCAAAAGAGAATCACCATGGCTGAAGATGGAGAAGATTGAAAAAGATTGCAAATGACGAATTTGAGGAATTATAGAGGAATATTTTTAAGATACCTAGGCCGCGACACAGCTCCCGTAAGGTTTTAATTTATTTAAGGGCACCTGTCCAAGACGCCAGTACGACACAAAAATTTCCGCGATCGTTGATACTGTATGCCTCGGAAGGCAACTTTTACACGTTTTTTTTTAGCATCACTCAGTTTATTTTAGGACCCCAGATGTAAGAATTCATGGTTGCATGTTAGCAGCCGAAAACGGCTAACGGTGTGCGTGGGTAACCCGGCGAGAGTGACGCAACAGAGTCACGATAGCTTGTGGAAAGATAGAATGACCACCCAGAACTATTCAGACACTTCTGGCACATACCGGCGAGGACTAAAACTGAGAGAGACAGTTTTGATAAGCTTGCCAGCAGCGCCCCCCTAGAATTAAGTTATTATTTTTGTTATTTTCATTTCCACGTGCCGCTATTTACGCCACTCAGGCATCACGTTCACTTCGGCAGCTCATAGTAAGCCCCTTATAAGTTGGCATCAACTACTCCTTCTCCGGAGCTCATCAATCCATAGGAGTGAGTAGCATCCAATTTCTCCTCATAATATTACTAGTGAATATAACATGTAGGTCACAAGGATAAAGGAAGTCTTAAAATCTGAAGGAGCTATTGATTGTTAAAAAAATTTCCTATGTTACTACCTAGGAAATGTATAGAATGTGCATACTGATAGTAGGATGTAAAGGGAACGACTCCTCTTTACACACTGTCGCTATGATGATTCGAGTATGGTAACTTTCTATTGTGTCACAAGGTAACTCGAACTGAGAGGCGTGCCATTTTGTCTGAAAGTACAAGTACGATTTCAAATCGAAATTACATGACACGAAATTATACTGTTTTTTATATATCCATTTTATAATTGTCCTTCATCGTTATTCGGAATCGATCATCAAATCCGTTTATTGACAAAAGGTGCTAGCAACACTTCTCAAATTGATCGACTATGAGTGTAACAGGCTTCGAAATCTGATTGTTTCAGTAAAAGATGCAATTAGAACAAGAAATCGTGCGATTCGTTAATAAATCGCACTGCTATGAGTCAATCAGATTGCACGATAAACCAGTTATTTCATTATGGACTTACATGCATGTATATGAATGTAAAAAGTTCGAGCCGTAAAGGTTATGACCAAATGCTTCAGCTGTAATTTCTGTAAGGTTCACGCGTTTATAGATGATCGCAAACTTTCTCTTAAGATATTTTACTAAGGAGGACGTTTTACACTTAATTACTGTTACGAATGAAATGACTAATTTGTAAATAAAGTTGACAAATTTATGATGTTATCAAGCTTTCTTCAGTTTTTAAAATGTAATCATAAAAAGTTGTAAACCCCGCGCACTACTGAGTAAGGGGGGACAGTGCATGGTCTGGGAAAGAACTATTGTACGTAGCGAGTCGAAGTTCAGAATGAATCGAGTAGAAGTGGGAGATATGGGAAACCTTCGTGTCGTAAGAAGGATACCTCAACATCCGTTTTAAGAAACAACTAACCACAGTAAAGATGTGTATTCCTACTTCTCGTTTAACCTCTATAGTCCTAGCCACGCTCACATGCATGAAAAATTACTCGCTCCAAAACTTTTACACGTATCTGCTGATCTAAATGCAGATCTAAAATTACCACATTTGAAAGTTTTACCAAATTGTAAGCATTTTCCCCTGCACATTTGTAAGTCGCCACTAGGCGTGACTTTTATAAAGAACTGAACAGTACTTCAACTATCATACGTATAAAAAAATAACAAAATTTTCAATTCCTTTTCATCATTGTTACTAGTTCACGGGACCGTCTTCGTCCTTGGTATAATCTTAGATATAAACGTAAGATCACATGAAAGTGTAGGGTTCCATATTTGAACTATAACAGCAAACAACTTAGCTTTTCATATACGTCAAAAAATCACGGTAACAGGAACTGGCCAATCATAGATGGATCCCTGCTCTTGGACTGGTGAAACACCTTTTTTTATCACTGCATTCTAGAACGAGTTCGGAATAAGTCGTTGAATTTACGAAATATCGCATAACAAGATTAACTTTTGGCGGCAAATCATCAAAAATTATCGCTACTGCTGCTACTACCAAGAGTAGTCTTACTTCCACCAAGGCTACAACCACCACTATTGCTATTTCTCCTACTGTTCTGATTACAATTTTTTCTGTTATCGCTTCATCTTAAGGAGCGTTATGCTTGGCTGTGTGATTTGCTGGTTTTCATAGCTGTGATTGCGCGCATATCCGAGATGTGCTCTCCCACAGCTCCTTTTTATCGTGAGCACCCAAGCTTCTGGAATTTCTATTTCACTGTGTCCATGTTGAAGAAGCGGGGGTGAAGTCTTTTACGAAAGTGTGTGTAACAGCGGGATCACGATCATTAAACGTTCCAGTGCGGGGCAGTGATTTATGAATACCCTTTTTAACGCCAAGAAAGCATTTTTCAAATATTTTGAAAGCGAAATTCTATTGGAAAAAGTGCCATCTAAGTACTCATAATATTATTATCATAATTAAAAAAAAACAGTAGATTGAATGAGACAATGGACAAAGGTTCCCAACCGAGCGGGAAAACGCGAATGGCGATTGCTTGCTTCAGATCAGAGTTTCGATTCTCTACAGAAATCGAGTAGGTAACTCTCAAATCGCAAAAATATAAATTTTTTATAAAAACAGTTTTTCAATTTGAAACAACACGAAGCATCGCTGACGCCGACAGTTATTGTTGCATAAGCAGTGGTATAATAGTTGCCAAACCCACCCCTGAGAACACCACAACATGACGCACGCCTTCCATTTCCGGTGCCAAACCACTTTTAAAAATCCTTCGTTTCATTTTCCACTGGAATGATAACAATAATTATAAACTTCCGACCTTACCGGTGTACGCCTCGAGCAAGAAAACTAAGCCACCTACAATTTTCTCCTTCACTGATTTCACTCCATTGAAAGGCGTCAGTGAGATCGATCGAGGAAACAGATAAAAACTTAAGAAAAAACAGCCATACAGTCAAATCCCTTTTAGTGACATTGTTATTCTAACGAAATTAAAATCAAGGATTGGTGCCTTCTTTAGAAAAATAATTTTTGTCACGTTTTGGGAAGAACAACAAGGCGGCAAGTTATTTTTACTGAGGAAAAAAAAAAAGGATTCAAGCAACATCTTCTTGACTGAATGCCAAAAACAGTTCAAAGCACGTCCAAATATGACAGGTTTTAGAAACGGATGCCGAATTCGGCAACCTTTCATATTCAAGAATGACCTTCCACGCAGAAATCTGCCAGCAATATTTCCTACCCGTCTGGCGACAACTGTCGGGCCACAAACGGATCCTTCCACTTAGAACATAGATTCAATTATTCAAGACTGAAAATAGCTGGCGTCGTAACTTCTATCAGACTATGAAGAGTTGTAAACCTTCTATCTAAGTCAACTAAACAATTGAAAAGAGAGGTTTTCTGTGGCAAGGAAATTGTTTCTCAAGAGTGAAATAGGATTCAATTGGGAAACAAGACTGCAGATTAAAATACTACGAGTGAACTTTGAGTTCATGCCTTAAATCCGAAAAAACAAAAAAAAAAAACAAAGAAAAGAAAAAAACAAAACAAAACAAACCATACCATAACATTTCGGTTCTTGCTTTAGCTTACATTTTTATGCCGGACCAACCTTATGGGCCAACCTAGAGTGCAAAGTGCAAACAAAAAAAATTTATTTCATTGTTTTGTTTTTTGCTTTTTTTCAATTTTTTAATTACGACGGAAAAGGTAAAGCATATCTTTCTAATAAGAAAACACTGTGTAACAAGAAGTTTCCAATGCTTCCAGCAGGGACAGATTCGTGAACCATACATGGCTTATACCACACACTGAAATTAAAAGACCAATGACTGAGTACAAAGGGAGAGTCGAGACTGGCGCTTCATTATCATGTAAACTCTTCGATTCATTATTGAAAAAAAAAAAGTTAAAAAAATTGTTCTAGATGGACAGCTGCTGAGTGCATGAAATACCTGCGCGTACAGTGCTCACAATGAAATAAGCCTACGCGATGTTTTTTTACAATTATTACTACGAAACCCCCCTTCTGCGAGCCAGACATTAGGGAAAATCACCCAATTTACGCGAAATATAGTACACGGAAGAGGGTACTTGCTGACATCGACCGATTGCGTCGTTGACTTTCTTGGCAAAAGTTACAATGATTCAATTCATCGAAGTCGATCTTAAAAGGTGTGTTTCCGAGCGATCGCGCAGTCGACTTTCTTTACAAAAGGTGGAATCCCTCCAAGTCGACCATAAAAGGCGTGTTTCACTGAATCGAAAACGTAAAAATTTGCGCGCCGAAAATGCCTCAGTAAAAATACAATACACGCAAAACCAGTGTCTAACGTTATTCAAGGTAAATGAGTTTTGTACTGTGTTCGGAAACCTTCATTTTTAAATTTATTTACTAGACATAAATGCCTCTTCTTGGAATACGGACGGGCCTATACCGTGAGAACTTAGGAGCCGATGAAGGATCGATGGCAAAAAAAGGAATATTGTAAGGAAACAATACTGAATTGCTAATCAGAGTGACCTCACTATAAAATAAATATCAGTGAAACATTCATCTGTTCATGTTGACCTTAAATGGATAAATTGTTGCAGCATCAGGGGAAGAAAATAAACCAAATTTCCCCGGGAAAAGAGTTGAAAAATATTTTCAATTGACATTAATGTTGTGCTACGGAAGTACTTGAGTTAGAAATGCATGCTAAGAAAACAAGCGTCGGCTAGATAACCAACAGGTAACAGTGCGGGTTTTTTGTCTTTCATTTTCATTCTTCTATGCAAACTGACATCACGATCCATTTACGCATACTTTTGAGTCAATGTCATTTTGTTTTAAAACTTTTTTTATATGTACCTGGATCGCGTCCACAATTCAAAGTAGCAATACGAAAAGAATGTGGATATCTGCTAGTTTTGATCGGTGCTCAACCGGACACGTCAGTTCATATAACGCGCGATAACACATCTTGGTATCCGATTAAAAACAGGGGCCACCTCCTAGCGACCTCTCGGCCACAATTCCCTACTATCCTTGCCAACTACGAATGTCTGACTATTGCATTACCACTTAAATTCGAACACAAAACTGTAAAGCTGAATAATGCAGACATAAACCTTATACACCTTCGGCGGTAAAAGAAGTTTTAAAGGAAAAAATGGGTTGAAAGTCATTTCGTGCAGAAAGCCTGAGAATGCAAGCTACGAAAACGATAGCCGAATAACATCTAACCTTTTATGTATTTAGATTAATAAGTTCCGGTGACATTTGGAATTTGTTTTACAAAAATAGCATACGGGGAGGGAGAGAGGCTTCATTGTGAATTAACCGAATATATTTTCAATGATTGTGTTCTGCGACCCCTCGTGTGGGAACTCACTCCGCCATGCTCTTGTGCTCCACTTCTGCATAAGAAAAGCAAAACTTACCTTACTCGTCAAAACTGAAGTATTTCTGTTCTCGACAACAAGCCGGCAACTTTATTTTGGCGGAAGCTCCGTGTGGAATCAAATCCTAAGCATGTAAACAAAACTTGTAGGCGGGTTACCGCATATAAACAGATAAACTACATTTACACGAAAATACAGGTGGATATTCAGAAGTTATTAGTAATAAGAATCTTCCCCTCGATAGCTAACTCACAAAAGATGGAGTTTCACATGGGACTAAGAGTCTGCTGTCTGTTTGAAATAATAATTGTTGAATTCTTCTAGGTCTTTGAACCTCAGTTCGACAATATGCATACGCGTAGGTGCTTGTACTTCGTACATTGAAGAGTTCAAAAATTACTTTACTTGCAAGAAGTTTCCTGTTCGAGTGCATGTTAAAGACAAGTCCATCCGGCGTATTCGCTTATTTTTCAAAACAAATCTGTCAAATCTTTAAGAGAACACCAACGTCACCCCGGTCAGTTTTACGCAAACCGTGGTCGAAAGACTGAGGCGCTCGCGCGGATCGTTCAGTCGCGTGGAAGTTGCGCGTTCATTCGCGTTGCAGAGGAGAGGTGGAGAAGCTGGTTCGCGCGAAAAATGATCCGATCTTTATAGGGTGGAACTGACTTTACTAAGTCCCTCAGGAGCTGGTTACCTTCCAAGAACAGCAAACAAGTGTCTCAAATTCTTAGGGTCGCGGTCCAAATATGTATGAAAAAGCTGGAAAAACCACTGGAAGCATTCCACAGGCTGAACGACCTGGAAAGCAGAGCATCAGGAATTACCACAATCGTTCAGATCCAAAACTGCTGCTAACGCTCTTCAAAACTAACAAGAAAAAGTTTTTGAATCCTTAGAGTTCTTAGAAAGATTAAAAAATTTCTTTACCCTAAAACTGCAACAAAAAGAGCCAGCCAAAAATAATAGATTTTACTCAAATCAAATGCCCGCAGTCATGCTGATTACACGCCGTACTTCTAAACGTGAAATGCAACTTTTGGTTAAATTATTTTGAAAACTTACAGGAAGTATTCCCAGTGCATTTTGAGTATTACAAGACTGAGTTGTTGTATCTACAGTCCGGAACCTCCTCCGAGAACACTCGACGAGTGCCTGATAACCGGTTACATAAGGTTAACTTAACGTTGCATAACGGTTCAAAGTCCGCCATTCGATAGTTCCCCTTGTTCGTTACTGAAAGTAAAATCATTATTCTCATTCTGAGAGTGGAACTAAAAAGAGAAACTCGGCGTACTCAAAATGTCCGCCATAATGTTACATTCTCCTAAATATACATCGTTTAATTCTTCTACTTCTCCTTTCCTGAAGTGCACTTCATCCTCCCAAAAAACTTGGCAAGAGGAACTAACACCATTTTATCTTACTTTTCTCAATTTCTTTCATTCGCCATTAAAATAAATTCGAAACTTTGGACTTCATTTTAAAGACGGATAAAAGAAAAATTGATTTTTAAGACGAAAGTTACGTTGACTGTACTAGAGAACCTGCATAGAGAAGCTGTGCGGCCCTCTGAAATATTTGAAAACTTCTTCACTTACAGATGTGGTCAAGTTTCTATGTTACTATGCAGGTTTTACCTAGACTATTCTGACTAAGCTTAGGGCAAATAGATGTTGAATTTGAGCGAGGAACGGGCCACAATATGTAGTTTCAAAATAGGAATTTGAAAATGTCGCTCAATTCAATCTCTTTCAAATATATTGAATATTCTTGCATGGAAAAAGAAATCCATCGAGCGCACAAAATGTCTTTCTAAAAAAATCTTTAATTTCTATAACATCACATATGCAATTAACTCCACGATTATTTGTTCTACAAGAAAGAGTAATTTGTTTTCCTAGCCTAAGAATTGATTGGAATTTTTAGCGAGCAATATTATATGTTAAGTGGGGCATTGGGTAAAAGGGAAGTTTAAATCATCACAGCACTCCTAGGACAGTTAACATGTAAGTTCCAAAGTTCTACGAAGGCCGACAGCATGTCTATTAAAACATTTTTAATCAGGAAATCAGAGCATTTGTAAATAGAATACGGATGTTACCTTCGCACAAGAGACAAAACAAACATCTGTCAGGGTAACATACTCACGGTAAGAAAACGAAATGCAAACAGACGGACGGCTGGCAACAAAAACGTGGAAAAACGCGGTAAAAACAAGAGACGCGGAGCTCAGCCGTCGAGGACCTCAAGGCCGGGACGGCAGTACAGTGATCAGGTTAGTGTCAACTTCTGATCGAGTAACAAGATCGATGTGCTCGTGAATCGAAACTGAAGCGAGCATGGACTAAACTTCGTTCTGCATCGATTAAAGACTCTTCATTGACGGCTGAAATGCCCGGTTAATTATGTCTGAACTTGGTGTGAGGTCTGCGTAAGGGCAGTTTTGACAAGCTTTAACTTGGTTCAGTTTTTAGGGGTCAGTGTTTGAATAAGGATTTTGAAAGTCTGATTGGTTTCCATGGACTCCCGGGGGAATTGATTGGATTTGATTGACAAATATTAAACGAATTTAGATACTGTACTGTAAAATGATTGGCCTCTCTACGGGTACGCTCCCTCCTGATTGGCCCCGCGCGTTGTACGCGCGCGATTCGCGGAGCTATCGGTATGCAGTGACGCATGACATGTTTCCACACTGCACTGGATAAACAGAGCGAGACCTGCCGTGAGGTGCCGTGGGTTTAAGAGTAGTCGTTCGTCCTCATCCTTGATTGCGTTTATTCTCACCAGTGTTATGTGTGATGCGTCGCAGAAGTGCGCTGTTATTAGACCGAAGAACTTTGCAGTTTAATCATGGGTTGCAACCACAGCAAGAAGCTCGATGATGAAGACTGTGTCAAGACGAGCAAGCTGAACGAAGCATCACGTGAAGTGGGGTGCAAAGAATTAGTCAACAATGAAAAGGGGAAAAACTCTGAGAAAAAGCCAAAGAGAGGACGTGTCCTTGAAGGAAAGCTTAGCTTTGATGCTGTTGTCACGGAGAAATATGAGATCAAAGCGCTCATAGGAAGAGGTTCATTTAGTAGAGTCGTCCGTGTTGAACATAAGGAAACAAAACAACCTTACGCGATCAAAATGATAAAGGTTCGTGGTGGTAAAGACAGCTTCGAGTCCGAAGTTGCTGTTCTAAGAAAGGTGAAGCACGATTACATTGTTCAACTGTATGAAGTTTTTGAGTGTCCAGAGAGGATCTATCTGGTTATGGAGCTCGCAACAGGCGGTGAACTCTTGGATCGCATCGTTTGTCGGGGATCTTTTACCGAACACGATGCTACTCGAGTCCTTATTATGGTACTAGAGGGAGTTAGTTATTTACACTCTCTTGGAATAACTCATCGTGATTTGAAGCCGGAAAATTTATTGTACTATCACCCTGGAAACGATTCCAAAATCATGATTACCGACTTCGGATTTTCGAGCGCTTTTCAAAACTCCGACAGCGCGACAATGGATACAATTTGCGGAACACCGGAGTACATTGCACCAGAAATACTCAAGAGGCAACCGTATACAAATGCAGTAGACATGTGGGCTATCGGGGTTATCACGCACATTCTTTTGAGCGGAGAAATGCCATTTTCAGACGAGAATCGTACGAGGATGTATCATGCAATTTTGAAGGCAAAGTATTCGTATATCAGTGAGGTGAGTAGGCTTGTGTACATACATGCATGATAGCGCTTTGTTGATTGATCTTAGTGGTTTGTTGATCGCTCTCGATTTCTCCTGATGTGTTATGGTAATCAGGTTAAGCGTTTTCGCCGGTAACTAAGTTGTTCGGTTTTACGGAAACTCTTTACAATAGTAAGGATAACACTGTGGGAAAATTCGTGTTTGTAACCTGCCCTACAATGAAACGGTAACTCGATGTAGCGGTATCAGTTACGATCGATTTTCTCTGGCAAGGTTTCAAAGATCTTTTGTCCTCTGACAGGGTTTTCTTGTTCGGATATTGTAATCCGTGTATTAGCGTAAGCAGAAATCATCTTGTGACGATTGTTACCGTAGTTATTCTTTGAAAAGCTCTTATTATAAAGTAATTCTGGACAAACTTAGCGCGTTCGTGCGTCAAATGCTATACCAAGTTATCTTCTTTGTTCTTACACAATGCAAATTCGCTTGCCGCGATCTGTAGGACAGTGACCTCTATAATTAGCTTTCTTTGAATAGAATCACCTTCAGCGCATAATTGTTTTATTGAAAAGGAAAAAAAAACAAATTATCTTCTAAAATTTATTTTGTTCAATTTTGTGTTTGAAATCAAGTGGAAAAGAGATCTATTGTCTGTGCGCTTGGTGCGAAGAACAATTGTTTCTTGGGTCTGGAACGTTCGGTTTCTTTGTTGAATGTAATAACTGTTTCTTTAGAAGCTCGATCGAGGGCAACAGAGATGATTTCCTGTAGTTATAAAAATGTTACGAGCAACTTCGTAATAAGAGATGCCGGCACTCGTGCTTGATTTAAACTCTCGGAAATGTTCCTGACATCGAAACGTGAAACAGAACGTTATACTGTATTTCCTGTGATTATGTAAGTTATTTGGTTTCGCTGCCAGCCTTCAATCGTAAAGCAACCGCAGCTCCATAGTTAAGGCATTGTTCACCTGTTACGAATCTGCCTTTCTCTTTTCCGTGCAGGTCGCTGAGTAGGGCGTTTGGGGTGGCCTTCATGATCCCTAAACATTCCGGTCATTTTGCGGCGAACCCTACGCTTGTTTGCGGTCTAGTGCTATCGTCAGAAACATTCGCTCGAATACGGAACACTGTTTACATTTCAGCTATTCGAGACCATTTTGTTGTTATTTATCGTAACATTTAGACCATTTGTGCAAGGTTTTCAAGATAAAAGCTATGTCATGTAATGTGCTTCATAATATAACCAAATTTAAGGGATTTCCCGGTATTAGGCAACGTGTAGTGTAAAGTCCTTTTGTTATATCTAAATCGTATTAGGATCAATAACTTCAGGTACGAAATCTTTCAAAATGATAGATGGGAGATAGCATTTTGTTAGTATACATTTGTTCAGGAAAAATTAGATTACATTATTCAAATTAAACCTCCCACCTCAGAATCATCCAACAGTGGATTTTAATTCACATTCGTCCTACTAATGTGTTGCGAACACGTCTGAAACCAGGTAATTGGCCCAATAACAAGACCTATATTTAGCAACAAATATTGTTTAACTCACTAATAGGCATTCAGTGGATGTATATCAATAAAGTGTCTGGACACTTAACACACAAATTAAATTAAGTGGACTCACTAAACATATATTCATAATTATTTTCCCAATGGAAACCAATTCTTAAGTAAAAACATGTGAGATCTGATTCTTCAACAAGGACCCACTGAAATAAATCCCTAAAAATCCAGCGCCTTAATTCCAAGAATACTAAGGTTAGTTTCTGTGATTCTTCATGAAGATGCACCCCTTACAAAGCATGATGCCTGTGGACTAATCATTTCCTTATAACTCAGAGATGTTTTTTTTGAGAAGCTTATTACAAGGTCAAACAACATCCAAACTCTCTGAAAAAATATTACCCTTCTATTCTAAAGTAAATTTGACTTGTTACCTCTTTGAACTACCTTTTATCATGGGTTGAACTCAAAGGATGCCAAGTATTTCAGCCATCAAATCTGCAAAAGAATCTGCAGGTGTGTAAACAAAGATATGAAAGTATTTAGGGAGCATATCCTTTCTCTAAATATTCATGATCACTATATTCAACTTCATAACTAAACATGCGACTTAAGAAAGGCGCAATGCAATCTATTCATATGAAAATACATAACATTGGAAACTCAGGGTAATGCACTCTTGGGCATTTCATGAGAAACTGATAAGCATCCAAACTCAGCGGTGCGCAACTTGTCAAACAAACATTTAACTAAAATGATGATAACAAAAGAGGGCCAAGGCTATTTTTATGTGTTGTAAAAATCACGGACATTTGCAGATTTCAGTGTTCCCCAACCATTCCAGATTCTGCGCATATAAGGGAAATTTCCAGAAGGCATCATCGGAGATTCAACTGATATTGAATTTGGTGGGAGTGTAGCCAAGAAATTGAGGATTGGTTGTAAGCCAAAACTATCACCTATATCCTTGACATATATCTTGCTTGAATGATCTTTGAGCATCTAGGATATGATCAGCTTTTAGAAATGCTCCTTATTTCTCTATTTGTCGTGATCAATCCTTAAGGACTGCAGATGCTTCTCATTTTGCATTTTTGTTAGTTAGCTAGCGCTTGCTGTTGGGAGACAATAGAAAACTAGTCATCAAAGAATTAACATTTAACATGTTAACATTTCATCTTCAAGTTTGCGACAAAGAAAACTGCTAGTTAATATTTCCTTTGAGATCAATTTATTGTTAAGAGTTTCTTACAATAGAGTGCATGGCTGTGTAAAAATACAGAGTAATTATCCATGTATCACCTGTCACATGTTCTTTGCCTTTTACTATTGGTCTAATATGAATGAGTATGGTTTTAGGAGAAATTGATCTGAAAATGTATAGCACAGCAGAGGGACTTTTCAGTGTTTTCCACTAAGATTCTTAAAGAGTGTTTCATTGGTAAGGTCAATTGAACTGGTAACAGTTATATTATTTTGACACAACCACACTTATCAAATATCTAAACTGTGTTTAAGAAAGAAAGAAAATAAGGACTGTTTCATAATTGAATGACACGTGAGAGTGGCTGTGTGGTCAAAGTACAAATCAGTAAGCTAAGCACAGTAGATTTCCTAACCCCTTAAGAACTGATCACAATGTCTGTGATATATTATAAAGTTTTTAATGAATAAATGCAAACCAACCTGTAGTGAGTTGATATAATGCAAGCCACAAGGGCAAACCAAAACCACAATAAAATATCGTAAGTATTGTAAAGAATTTTCTTTACATTTTGAAGTGGGTGGATGTTACTGAATGTTAGAACAGTATTGTGTTTCAAGTCTTAATTTTTAGATAATACATGTTAGATGATATTTGAGCACAAACTGCTCTAAAATTGTCGTCAGAATTAAATGAAGTATGATTTTGGTCTAATTTTGAGTTGCAAGACTGAAAAACCTCTGCTTTGTGATGTTTATTTTTAAATTCTAAATAAGATTAGGAAAATTGCATTAAGAAAGGAACTTAAAGAATCATGAAACTTATATATTTGTCGTATGGAAGGAATCATTACCGGCAATAAAATTTATACAGTTGTAACACACCCAGTATATGGGAAAACCTTAAGTCCCTTGAGGTATGTTGCTAAATAAAAATTTGAAATATGTTGTATCTGCCCATGATCAGGAGGTTATAGACATGTGGTGTCTTCATGCCAATGATAGATTGAGGCCATGAGACCAATGCTCTCTGAAATGTTTATCCAGTTCACGTGATTATCATTTTTAACTTGGTAAAAACAGTAAGGGGCTGAAATTTTTGAACACACCTCTAAAAGAATAAATATATATACATATACATTAAGCCTGGAAATCTTATTCATGGTCTTTGTCACCATATAGTGGTATTAAGCACTGCATCTTATTGAATAATCCAATTTTAGCATTACATACGGGTAAATTTTGTTCAGATCATGCAAAGTTTTCTCCAAAATGAAACTGCTACAGTTCTAAGAATGATATACATGTGTGAACAGGTTGATAGTATTTTTTTCCTCAAAGATTGTTGTCTAGAGGCAGTGCACAAGGAGATTTTACAAACTCAAATGCTAGGGCTAATGCTTCCTGGGTCAAAGATGATATAGCAACATTGTAAATCAAGAAAGTGTGATGGCAAATTTTCCAGAAACATAACTCTTATCTTGTTTGGTGAGTGTTCCAGCTTGGAAATCTATTTGCCTCACAGCAACATTCTTATCATTCTCAACCAAACTGTGAAAGGGCTAGGCAATGGAACTTGAAGCTGTTCAAACAAAATTTACTCAAGTTCCACCATTCTGATGGCAATGCTATTCACAGACATATTAACAAAAAATAGATGGTTATTACTGCATCCTTTACCAACAGTTTTGATGTCTTACACTGGTAATTTTTTATGTTTTTTTGTTTTTGCATGTCACCCAGCTCCTTCAACTCTAACACTCATTTAGTTTTAATTGCAATGTTTTCTAGCCACAAGTATATTTTCTATGTTTACAGCTTGACTAATCTTGTCATCAAATATTTTACTCATTTACAAGTTGTGAGGTCAGTTCCCCCCCCTTATCTACAAATGGTACATACATGAAGATTTGTCAGAAATTTAGTAATAAATCCTCCATTCACATTGGCAAATTAACAGCTTTTACGACCTAATAAGTATTCTCTTTTTTTTAACCAAATATAATAAAATTTGTACTAAGCAGACACCAGTCAGTCCTGCCTTTGTCCTCTGCCATATTTTCTGTAAATAAACTAGCCATGAGAAAAAGTGCACACTAAAATTGATCCCTTTTCCTGCCACCTGTGTTAAGCAGACACTGCAATAGGTAGGGCTAAAGATTTTATCTTTGTTGCAATTGCAGTTTCAGTTTATGTTCATGTCACATTACTTAAATTGTTTACAGTGCACTAGAGCCTGTTGTGTCAACAAGGCGTGCAAAACCAAAAACTTAGATAAGGGAAACACAAACTTCTTACTCTTCTCCAACCATGTTTGCATCAAATTCATGATAGCAATCCATAAAATCAGATTGTACACAAAGAAGAAAGTGGGCACCAAACAAGTTATTTAATGAAGTATTCAAAATGTATGTGTAGTGCTATAATGGATAAGTTACCAAGTGATCATGGAACAACAATTGGAACCTGCATTGAGCAGACACTAGCAAGTCCCACAATTGTCTACTTAATACAGTTCTCAACAGGGTAATATCTTGGAGTAAGGTATATGATTGAAAGTGGTTTTGGACATTGACATTTCTGTGTGTATTTACATTAACCTTTGGGGTGTTTTACCGCATTTGATTTAAAAAAAAAATGATCGTATTTTTCTAGGTATGAAAATTACAAACTATGGAAACTGTTCTGTAACAATTTTTCAACAAGATTAGTTCTGAACATAAAGTTCAATACAATTTCCCAGACAAATGAGTAGACATGAAATAGGGTTGCCCCTCTGTGTAAAAAAAGAGAAAAAAAAAAAAGGGAGGGAGGTAGAGTCTTGTGAACCTACTTTCTAGTAACATTACCTGCTAAATCTCAAGAATGTCACTTTTGCTTTTACCTGAGCATGGAATGTCTGAGAGTTAAGACAGTTCAAGCAATTACATTAGTTTACTTAACCCCTTAACTCCCAGGATCTCATTGTTAATTCTAATCCTCTACCTGCTACACACCTCCTCATAAATTAGTCATGAGAACTTGTTGTTAGATCAAGGTAACAACTACTACCTGATTAGTTTGAATATTCTCATTACCTGTTTGCTAGATAATGTAATGATTATGGGAAGAAGTTTCATGTTGATCACTTCAGGGAGATAAAGCGTTAAGGATGAGAACGCCTTTTAGACATATCAAACTGAGGTCATAAGAACTCGAAATACATCTGTTTTGGAAGCTAAATAGTGCAAGACTAGCATTAAACAGTCAAAAGATACTGGCTGACACAGAGGTGGTCATTTACTCAACCCCAAAGGGATGAGGTTAATAAACATCACTTTCACCAACACTGAGTTTAAAATTTTTGTCATGTTTAAAGCACAAAAGCTGAATAATTAGCAAATGAAAGATTCCCTTTATTGGTGACAACATGCTGATGTACAAGCTGAAATCAAACAAAGTTTAGTTCTGAAGATGAACAATTTCATGTGTTCTGTTTGATCAGCACAGTTATATTGGTTAGCTTAACCTACAATCTCCGTATTCTTAAAAGCAGGAGATCAAGGCTTTGTTTTGAATAAGAAAATTATCCACACAATTCCTGTCATTTTATGACAATGATATTTTGGAACACTTGCTAAATTTGCATTTCTGAAGAAATGACTATTTCCTACACTGAGAATTGGTTTATATTTATTTTCTGGAGAGAAAGTCATTGCTTGATTCCAAAAAAATGGAAAATGATAGGTTACCCTGTTCATTTGCGACAAAATGACAATTTACCTCTCTGGTGAGCTCTGCTCTAAGAGAAAAAACTGCAATTTCTCAAAGTGCACAAACTTGTTATGTGTGAAATTATGCACAATAAGGATGTGCAAGCAATACTACAGAATGCCCTTCAATAAACTGAGATGAGTTCTGGCCTTAGGTTGTGCTCATAATCGTAAATGTAGGTAGTCTAAGAAGTGGTCAATTTGCAACCAATGAAATGACTTGCTATTTTTCTATCTTAGGCATGGAAGGATGTATCAGAACAAGCAAAGAACTTTATTGACAAGTTACTGGTAGTAGATCCTTGTAAACGGATGACTGCTGACCAAGCTCTTAGAGATCCATGGATTGCACTTAGTGTTGCTTCCTCAAATTTGAAAGACCTTCATCGTTCCTTCAGCCAAAATTGGTTGAAAAGTAGCTCTCGGCTTAACAGTGCTAAATCAAATGCTTCTCAGAACTGGGTGAAAAATGGCTCTCGATTGAGCAGTGCAAATTCAAATGCATCTCAAAATTCTACCAGATCTTTGCGGTCAGGTAGATCCAAACGGAAAAACAGCTCCACAGTTCCACAGGAGATAACTGTACAAAGTGAAGAGATCAAACAAAGTGGAACCAAATCGAAAGATTTGAGGGATTCAAATGTTAAGCTAACAAAGCATTCTGTAATTAATGAGGATGACAGAGAATTTTTTAACAGCACTAATACAGAGCACGAAGGTGAAGTTGCAGTTCTAAAAGTAACTACAGAATGGGATAACAACTGGCAACATGGTGTGAGACAAGGTCCTGATTTCAATGGTCAAACTATTGATTCAACTTGGAAAGTGCAAAGCATGGCAGATGATTCAAATGAGGAAATACAGACAAAGCCAATTCCCATTGTGAGAAATGGAGCACAGCTGTCACATTTAGTATTGAGAGATAATTTCTTTGAAGAGCAAACTGCTCAAGAGACATCCCAAAACTGGTTCCAGGATAGCATACGTAGAACTTCTTATGCAGGAGAATCTCTAAGCAAATTTCACTCATTGTCTCCATCAAGGAAAAACAAAGTATTTTGCACTTATGATAGCAGTTAATTACTGTACATATTTTTTCAGACAAATTTTATACTCAAAAGATTTCACTCAATCAATTTTATAAGAAACATAGTATTTTGCACTTGTGAAGTGCAAGTTACTCCATTCATGGAAATTGTTTACAGTTAATTTAGTCTTATTTCAAGATTGCCCTCAATTATCATGATATCATCTTCAGTCATCACCAAGCAAAATTCTAACATTTGGGTTATAGCAACATTATTTTCCATTTCCAAGCTTCTTTTCCATTTCCAAGCTTCAATACCTTATTTAAGATCCCAGGACAAGTGCATTTTTTTGAGGGTATCAACGTTTCCATTCCACTTTGTGTGTTTGCATCATGTTACATGTACCTCAGTCTTCCGTTAACCCATAGATGAAACAAAATAATAAATCACTTAAAATAGTGATTGATAAAATTTTATAATTGCATTTAAATGTATATGAAAAATTTTATGAAGGTTGTGTCTTGTGTCCAGGTCTCTGAAGAATATAATATATACAAGTATAGTTACTGAAATTACCAAGCTGCATGATGGAAAAAATCTTTGTACTGTCACCAATTCACTTTCTTTCAATGATCTGCCCCATATTCTCTGGTCTGTCATCAGTTGTTACAAGCCATTCCCAAACTTTCCCTAAAGAGTTAATAACAATTGATAGATTACAGTTTCCAGTAAAGCTTGATGGGGTATCATTATTATTATTATTTTAGGTAAAAAGACTAGAAATTGCCTCATATATGGAAATCATTTTTAACTTTTAAAAAGTCATCCAAATAATTTATGGAAGTTGTCAAATGAAGTAGTGTAGGTCCCAGTACTGTATTCCAAGACCAATTTCACAGCTCAGTGATAATCCCAGTATTGCAGCCAAAATGAATTTTAGTCTTCCTTGGGTAATTAAGACCTGGACACATTTATTGACTTTGAAAGTAATAAGATATATTTTCTTATCAGAAACTTTATACATATTTTTACTTTTATATATTGATCTATTGTAAATGTGAATTTCATATATCCTGGTGTAAGGACACACTATAAATATCACTAAGTATGTAACTATGACCAAATAAAATGTAGAAGATTTCAAGATTTCTGGAAATTGTGAAATCAGAATTACCTCAAATTTAATATAATGTCAAAGCTGGAGATGTAAAATAAGTATTTGAGTTATAGAGATGTATTTATTTCATGTACACATGCTGTAAATAGAATGCAGAGTAAGAAACTCTCTGATTTTTACTTGGAAAATCAGTATGCCATGTGTACATGTATTTTATACCAGATACATGCATATGAAAATTATGCTGGTCATAAATATATATATAGTGTGTGTATATTATATATATATTCCAGATGTTTCCATATAAGGATGGTTTTGTTTGTTGTAGTGGTTTTATGTGGTACTTTAATGTTTCAAATTATCATAGTGAAGATGAGTCTCTTAATACTTATAGGATATGAACTGAATGATCATTCAAATCAAACTGGATGTAACTCCTTAAAAAAGCTGAAGTATTTAATTAAAACCTTATCAATTGATGTACATTTTGCCTTGTTCATCTACACTGCATCATTCATTCTCTGAAACCTTTAACCCCTAGAGGTGATTAACATGTAACTTCTCCCTATAACATCAATACATTGTCCAGCAAACGGATAATGAGAATACCCAAACTTTATCAAGCAAAAGTTGTTGTTTTGATCCAACACCAAATTCTTGTAACTAATTAACAAGGAAATGTGTAACAGCAAGAGGGGCAAATTAACAATCAGATCCTGGGAGTTAAATGGATATAGAAACAAACCTCATGTTCTGTGGTGAACTAGTAACCTGTAAGTGCAGGTAACCATTTTTTCCAACTCCAAGAATTTGTTATTAGTGATTATCATGTAGGTTACTGCTAATTCATTATTTTAAAGAAAATTCTGAAGTTTTCTAGAGCACAAAGCAATATTTTGAGAATTCTTTTTCCCAGACAATTAACACTTTGTAAATGAATATTACTAATTAAAGTGTGACATTATGCACATTGTGAACTTTTTGCTGTAACATTTATTACCCTGTTTTTTTCATTTTTTCCAATGATTTCGAGTTCTCCACAATGCTATTAGAACTGGAGCTTCTCCCCTGATGTGTTCCACTTACCAATGTACTCTTTATTCCTAAAATCCCCAGTATCTTTACCCTTTTCATCCCTGACATCAGTGTGCATATTCTCCATCTCATTTTTTATATAATTCTTAAGGTGCTGACAAGAAGAATCTGTTTAAAAATCAAGGTCTTTGTAAGATTTAGGGGTGATATTGTAAGGAGAAATTAGATGCTAGTCACACTTAGAAGTTAGAAGGTTCCACCACTGCTCATTGCTAGGAGTGACAAAATTTTTATGTCGAACAAGGTCACATTATCTTAAGATTGATTGACAGATTGATTGGCTGGTAAGCTTAAGAAAATGGCAGCAACAATGATATGTCTGTTTAAATATGACAGCTCATGGCTGCCACAGATCAACTTCAATTAACCGTAACAAAAAGCTATAGGTAGTTACAGTATTTACAATCACCTCAGGATAGAAATGTAGTCTATTGCCTATTAGCCATCCTCTTTGAAAGGATCTCCAGTTGACCTCCAGCCATAGAAAAGCCTAGAGAACAAATTGTTATGATGTCACCAGTGATCCCATCAAACCCTGGAACCTACATCTATAGAAAAGGAGTTACACCAACTACTCAGGAATCATGATTCTTTGGCTTTTCAATGTTATTACATTTGTCACCTGTTGGATAAGAACAGGTTTGATCATCTAGGTGAGAAATATAGAGTAGTCCTGAGAAGAGCTGTTGTGGGTATTAGTGACTGATATTGCAACACCATGGCAGAACACATTATCAGAGTCAACTCAACTTGCCTTTGGCAAAGGTTGCGCAAGTATCAGTCACTACTACAGGATAGTCCTTTGTAGGAATACTCTCACCTGGAAAATCAGATTACACCTTTAAATTTTATTTGTAGGTTCTAACAATTTACTATATGAAGTTGTCAGTTAAGCAAAATTATGGTTTATTTCATTATTGTGTACTATTAAGATATAAAGGTAGTGTAGTACCTCCTTCATTCAAATTTGAGGTCAGTAGCTGATGATAAGAGTGAAAAAATGGGCCAGCAAAATTCAGCAAGGTTTTAGGAAAGAATTGTCTCTTCTCTTCTTAGTTCTTACAATTTTCCCTCTCTACCTCCTTTTTATATAATAAGCTCAGTTATGCACACATTCTGATTGGTTCTCACTTATGATCTATTAGAGGACAGACCTATAGATGACATCATCATTAAAACTTTTTTCCTTATATTTTAATTCTTTATTATATAAAACAAATAGATTCCAAGTTGCTGTGCATCTGTTCAGTAATAGATCACAGAGGACATCAAAATGTGGTAAGAACATCAGTGACACACTCGGCTGCGCCTCGTGTGCCACTTTTTTGTTCTTACCACACTTTCATGTCATCTGTGACCTATTACTGAACAGACGCACAGCAACTTGGAATCTATTTGTTAATTTACTCATCCCCAAAAACTGAGTGCCATGAATAACTCCACAAGTTACCTTTAACTCCCAAGATCTCATTAGTAGTTCTCCTCACTGTCTGCCATATAGTTCTTGTGATGTTAGTTTGGAGAATTTGGTATTGGATCAACTATAATCCCCCTTTTTAAGACTTTCTTTATTCTCATCACTTGTCTGCTTGATATTGTACTGATATTGTAAGGAGAAATTCTGTCTTGGTCACTTGTGGGAGTTAAAGGGTTAAGCCATCTGGCCCATGACTGCCACAGAGTGTCTCAGTTTCTTATCTCAGTTTCCAACCCAGAGGAGACTTAGATTACCCCTCATTGAAGGAATACCTGTCAACTGGAGTAAAAACCTAGTATTTTGTCACATTTTCCTCAGCAGGTGTTCCTAACAGTTTGCCAATAACCTCCAGGTTTGAGCCCTGCCTGGGTCTCTGCACTATGTGGTGTTCTTGAGTATCTGGCAATTTACTCCAACCTCCCTCTCGCTATGCAGGAGTGTAAATTACTGCATAATGGAAATCTGCCAGGGGAACCTAAAGTAATAATGTTAAGATTTACTTGCAATGCAGTGACGTGACATCTTCCCCAGGGGCAACCAGCAATAATCCTAGTCACTTCAACCTCTTAAAACCAGAATAACACCTTATTCCTTTGATACCTATGAGTGACCAGCATCTAATTCCATCTTACAACATACTCCTAATCAAACATTAAATAAGGTCACAATAATCAAAGAAATGATCACAAACTAAGAAGCTCTTGAATGTTAAACAAATTCTCCATGTCAGCATCTTCAGAAATGTATGGTGAACAGTATGAAGAATATGCATACTGATATAAGGGTGTGAAGGATTAAAATTTTCCTCGAAAGAAAATGTCTCAATTTATCATAGTGCATAGAGCACCTGCAGGTAAGTTGTCTCTGAGAATAGTTTTTAACCCCCTTTCAGGACACACACACATAAAAAAACAAAACAAAAGGGAATACATTTTCATTTTGACATTTGGTGTAGAATAGCTGTATTATATGTTCATGACAGAGAGCTAATCTTGTATCAAGTATCACTTTCAAGTGAGAATTTGTAAATTTTAATTCTGCAATAATCCCACAAAGGGAGATCTAAAGAACACAAATATCACCCAATTACTGATTTCTTTTTGCAATTATTTCAAATACCTTCAATGTAACATTAAATTTGTCATGCTTAAAACAAGAACCTTCTATTTGAATCTTAAATTTGAAGTGGCTTTGTCCCAGGCTAGAATGTTGTTCTCTCTGAATACAAAGATTGGTGATGTTGTACCATGTCAGTTATTGTTGATTTTTTTGCCATTTGGCGCTTAGTCAGTTGACCCCATTCAGACCCTCTCTTGTTGTAAATCTCTCAATTAAGGTTTAGTGATATAATTTCTTGTTTCTCCCTTGTCTGTCAAGTTCCTACCTTCCCATATGTTATTTTTTTATTAAATCATGTATTAATTCCCCTATTTTGTAATTTCCCTTATTAACAGCGGTGTTTTTATCAAGTTTCAATTTCGCCGGGAATCTCTCTGTTACAGCTAAAGCCCCTCCTGCCTTCTTCAAATTAGTTTTTTTCTCCCACAACAAAAGAGTAGAATAGGTCGTTAAGATTTGCTTTAATCCTATTCAGAGCTGAAACGTACCTTGAAATCCCACAATGAGCTCGTTAAAGGTTATATAAATCGTATTTTCAACGAGAATTTGACAGAAGAGTTGTTCAATATTGGTAATGGCACGGGGAAAAATTATCCTTGACCCCCAGAAAAACCCGCGCGCGGGAAAACTGAACCACTTGGGACCCTGGTAACGAAGACACGCTGAATATTCTTTCCGGGGTAGGATGGAAATTACAATTTTATTTGATAGAGAATGTTCTTTCATTTTGAGAATAAATTCTATTAAGCCCTCTATAAACACATAATAGTTTCTTATTTCCACGAAATCACTTCAATATTTTTTAAGATTTTAAGACCACCGAAAATTGTGATATTCAAAAATAAATTAAACAGCCCTCCCCCACTCGAGACACCGCATAAAAGTAACTCCAACGGGCGCACTATTTAAATTTCACTGTTAGCCAATCATATCAACGCACGGAATTTTTGCAGCATGCAGCTCGGCTATCATGGCGGATTTCGGTTCTCCGGGAACGCCAAGTAGACATGAAAAATCCCTCGGTTTATTGACGACGAAATTCGTCAGTTTGTTACAAGAAGCCAAAGATGGTGTCTTAGATCTTAAAGTGGTAAGTATACGAAAAAATCTTGGTTTTTGGTCCGCGAAGGACGACATTTTTGGTTCGCCGAAACTTCCTTTGTGGCCCTGTTTAGCGTTCACCATCTGAAATGTTTACCTTTGTCGATTTCAGGCAGCCGATACGCTTGCTGTGCGCCAGAAACGACGGATTTACGACATTACTAATGTACTTGAAGGAATTGGACTGATAGAAAAGAAATCGAAGAATAGCATTCAGTGGAAGTAAGTAAAACTATCAGAGGGGAATTAACTTCATGTGACGAGGGGCATTCGCGCGGGACAACCAAACGAATTCCATCGCAGTTCCCTCAATCTCGCGGGAGATAGGTAGTGAGATATGTCCACGACTGATTCTTCCAGAAATATGCTCTTTGTGATAAAAACCTCTTTAAACATAAAGTTTAAGAAAGAGAAGGTCATTTAGAGCGAAAGTAAGCATTTTCTTGGCAGTTCTTTTGCGTGTTCAAGGTTCGGGCGCGTGTCTCTAGCGCGCAGAACATGGTTTCGAAGATGCATTTACCGCCATTATTTTGGCGCCGTTTGTTGCAGGGGAGTTGTCGTCTAAGGGCGAAAGTAAATGGTATGATTTCGCTCGAAGACAGTTCAGGGTGTTGTTTCACACCTAAGACAAGATACTCTCAAAAAAATTTCTAATTCAGGCAGGCTTGCGTAAGCCAAAAACAAAAGAGGAAGTCAAAATTTCGTGATCATTCCATGATTTTTAGGGACTGTACTGATTAGTATATTCTTCTCAAGTTCGTGGTACTTTGTCGACTAGAATGGCATTTAAATTATCCTATGAGTGTTTTGACCAGACATCTTCTATTATGAGTTATTCAAAGAACTTGAACTTCATATGTCAATTTTTTTTTGTGTGAATACAGCGGAACTAAATAATAATGTGAACGACAGCAAACGCCGAAATTAGATTATTTTGTTTCTTTCTCTTGGATTCCCGCCAAACCATACGTTATTGGTTTGCCTTAATCGTTTTCGCAAGTGTGGTCGATTTTAGCTCGGAAACCTGATTAAATGATAATATAATCAAGATTTCATTGTTTTCATGTTAAATAAAATTTTGAAAATATTTTGCCCATTCTCCCTCTTTGTTCATTAGTACCTGCAATATTCTTGAGCTATTAGCTCTCATGCTCAATACCACATGATGTCAAGAATTGGAGAAGATTAATGAATTTCATTGGAATATGTGTTGTTGTTCTTCCAGCATGTTTTTTCCAAGTTAATTTTTGTTCAAAAAGCTCATGTTTGTTTGGTCTGAGTAAATTGAATTTTCAAAATCGGAGTGTACAAGTTTAGAATAAGAAGTCTTTTCATTTGAAGCTGATGTTCTTACTAAATGTCTTGAATCAATAAATTCCTAAAATTTTTTTTTGAGTTAAAAAAGGAAACTCTCAGAGACCTTTTATGTGATTGGGGTAAACCTGGATAGTCTGAATTGGATTGGTCCTCTGGTTTTAACCTAGGTAACATGTTCCTGCAACAGTTGTCGCACAATTGGTGGTATGATATGCAATGACTTTTCAAGCACTTCTTTTTGGCAAGCTTCCAACATTTTTCAGCACCTCCAATAATGTTGAAAGCTGTACACAATGTCAAACATCCATTTGAGCCAATGTTGCATGCACATTGAAAGGGTGAAAAATTTTATCTTCTGTATTTTTAAATTGCTTTGAACCACCTCTTTTTGACAACCAGGCCAGTGGTTACTATGCTGACTTTGAAAGTTTGTCCATGGTTTTGCCCAAGTAATGTTGTAGCTTGAGTGTAGTTTAACCCTTTCACACCTTAGAGTTTCTAGCTTCTAATGTCTCCATAATTTCTCCCTATCACCCTTGCATCAAATGTTAAGGTCAGGGGAATGAATAATGGTAGTTGAACTGAGTGGATTGCAATTTGGTGCGAATTATACATATAATTATATTGTGATTTCAAAATCAATTGAGTGCATGAGTTTGATTTGAAATCACAAATTTGATTTCAGACCAAAATTGCATGACATGAAGTTCATTTACTACTTAATTACATCCATTTTAAAATTGCAAAATTCAGTCGCTCAGATACAGGATTTTTTTAGTCTGTAGAAATATTTTGTTGATTCAGTAGTAAACTGGTTTGTAGAAAGTTGCTCAACTTGCTTTTCCTTTTCCTGCAAGTTTTTTCTTTTTTTTACCACTGATTATTGTATTTTAACATTAGCTGGGGAAAAAATGCAATTTAGAGTGGAAAATGGTGAATTTGTGAATAAATTGCACCTGTGAGAGCCAATCAGATTACAAGGATCACCAGGATTTCAAAATGGATGTAATCAAGGAAATAATCACTGATTTAAGTTGCTCCTGATGGCAAAACAAATTCTCCTTGTTAGTAACATAGGAGATGTAAAGAGAGCAGTATGGAGAATATGAATGCTAATGATAGGGTGTGAAGGGATTTAAAGGAACAGAAGAATATTCCTTAGGTCTGAATAAAAAACAGCTCAGGCCATGAAAATTTAGCTGGAGGAATCTTTGATGCTCAACCCCGTTTGTCCATTTTGAAAAAGTTATTTTTAAGTTAGTCCAAATTTAATCTAAAGTTATTAAAAGTGTTTTTTTTTTTATCTGTTTTTAACCCCATTGTAATTCTTTTGGTTAATTCAGACCTCTTTCAGTATTTCCCCTACAATCCATTATTTCAAGACAAGATCTTCCGTGACCCTAAAATATTGTTCAAAATTATTTGATAATTTTCTGTTTCCAGGGGGGCTGGACCTGGGTGTAACACGAGGGAGATATCAGACAAGCTTGTTCATTTAAAGGGAGAGTTGGAGAGACTGGAAGACAAAGAAAGGGAACTTGATGAACAAAGGCTGTGGGTCCAACAGAGCTTGAAGAATGTCTCAGAGGATCCTGAAAATGAGCAGCTTGCTTATGTCACTTATGAAGATGTATGCCGCAGTTTTAAAGGAGACACCTTGTTGGTTGTCCAAGCTCCATCTGGTACACAGCTTGAGGTTCCAATTCCAGACACAGTAAGTTTAGGATCCTTCCCTTGATATTTCTATGAAGGTTATATCTTTGGTTAAGGTATTCTTAATGTAGACTATTTCCTCATTTTATTTTCTATGCTTTATATTTTGTTTACAATAAGTAATTTTACAATGAAAATCAACAAAACTAAAAATGCCTTTTACAGGTTGTTAGGATTATTATCATAGGAGTAGTTACTATCGTTGTAATAATAATAATAATAATAATAGTTGTTATTATTAATATTATTTTTACTATTTACACCAATGGCATACCTTAGTTAATCAGAAGAAGTAGCAGATTAGCCATACAATCATCAAGAAGTTTGTCAAAATGTCATTCACTATCCCTAACAGCAGTCCTCCCTAAGACTACCCTGAACCAGCATTTTACACTTTGGCAATGTTTTTATGGTTCCTGACACATTTTTAAATATTGTTAAATGGAATTTAACATAGTTAACGACTAGGAGCAAATCTGGTCTGTTGCATTTGGCTGGCATATTGTTAGCGTATTAGCACTCTGTTAGCGTTTGCCTGGTATTTGTGTGTGTTCTGTAGCGTTGTAGTAACATGGTAGCTGTTGGTGGCCCAGAGGGCCGGCTGTGTCTGGCGGTTACCTTTGTCTGTGCATGCATTGGTTCTTCCATGTGCTTGCACTGTGTTGGTGGTACGATAGCATGGCGTCATCATCTTTGAGGAAAGCTTCTTAGTGTTTTTCTCACTTCTTCCCCTCTTTGCTTTTGTTTAGGGTTTTTTTTTGTTGTGGTTGGTTATATTTGTTCACATATTTATCTATTTATTTATTTGTCTCCTTATTTTCTCTTCTACTAAGCCTTCCGGCTCTAATGTGACGGGTGCTTGTCGGGGCTTGGCATGGGGGGCTCGTGGCTGGGTCGCAGGTTGGGCAGGCCAGTCAGGTGTTCTAGTGCCTTGGGTGCGACTGCAGTTGCAGACCCTGGGCCCCTTGAGCACCTGACCTCCATTTGCGACTTGGGTGTTAACCTATTGAAAATTTGCATTTTAAGGATTCTGTTGATATGGAACTATGGAAGCCATGAAATGTTTAAGATGCTTAGTGAGTCAAAAATGTTAATTCCAAGATGAGGACTTGTTACCGAGGATGCTAAAACATTAATCCTCAAAAACTTTTTCACAGTTAAGGTGCTGTGTAGACAGAGAATTTTGGCTTTTATTTAATTAGCACTAACTCCCTTCCCTCCCTAGTACACTCCTGTGTGGAATATCTGAAATTTACTTTACTATCTTCTGAAAAAGATTTATGGCAGATGAAAGGGAGAAATTGTATTTAATTATTCAGGTGGAGGTTCATTGAGATCCTTCATTTTTTTTTTAACCAAAAACTTCTCTACAGACTCCAAGCTCACATCAACCCAGGAAATTCCAGATCCACTTGAAAAGTCAGACAGGTCCTATACATGTGCTGCTGGTAAACAAGGATGCTGCAGCAGACAATCCGGTTGTAACTCCAGTCCCTCCACCAGCCAATGATGTCAACTCAAATGACCATGAAGTACTAAAGGAGGAACCTATGGAAACTAATGCCGATTCTAAACATGCTAATGAAATCAACGCTAAAGTGGGAGCAGTTAAAACTGAAGTTCTAGAGAGCAGCAGAGGTACTATGCTTCATTCATGAATTACCTTAAACACTAGCAGATAAGCTGCAACTTTACTCCTAGAATTTTTTTTAACTTACTTGTGATGTAGCCTTTCTGCCAGAACATCTAGAAAATATGCGGAAGATTTGGATGAATCAATTCTCTTCATTGAATATTTACGAGTCTGCATCAAATGGTTTGTTACTAAGTGACAAACAATCCAACAAACAAAATAAAGACTTCTCATTGTTAAATGTAAAATTATATTGATGATTTGACAGGAATGTAAAAACTATCGGTAAGAGTAAGATCAAAGATAAGGTTAGATTGGTAGATATGATGTAGATAACATTGCAACTAAAATTATATGTGGGGATTCAAAGTATTCTGTGTTTTCAGTGCCAGTGAGTTTACACTGTTGTGTAAAGGAACCAATGTAAAGGAACTTTCTCAAGATTTTTGATGATTTTTTTTTTCAAAAAATTTTCTACCTAAAACTGAGTTGCCAAACTTGCTACATTTATGGAATTGCCGTAGGAATAATAGTCTTCCATTTTTCCCCTCGTATAAGGAACTAGTTAAAAGAAAATATGAAACTGAATGTCACATTGCGGCTAAGTTTAATGATAGGAAGATGCTAGAGGCTAAATGGAAACCCATTTTGAATTATAATTTAATAGATACATAGGTGTGTAAGCGATAAAAAAAAAAAAAAAAAAAAAAAAAACTGTAAAAAGTAGGGTAAGAATTGCAGTCTAAGGAAGTATTATATAGTAAGTAGAATAAGTAACGTCTTGTAGGTGGTATTGTAAGTAGTGTTCGTCTTGTTTTGTAAAGTAGTGTTCTTCGTGTTGCAATTAAAAAAAAAAAAAAAAAAAAAAAAAAAAAAAACTTGGGATGCAGCTTATTTGTGATTGCAGTCAATCAGTTAGTGTTTAAAGTAGTTAATTATGGTGTTATTTCCTGAATTGGATGCTTCTTTCTTACCAAAAGTTCCTTTGTTTTATTATCAGAATACATGATTTTGTTATCTTTATTTCAACAGCTAACGAGCTTAAAGAAGTTGCCAATGACATAATATTTGGAAATAATTTCAAAGGTAAAAGTTTAAGCATTTGGTATGTGTCACAAGATGGCTGGGGACATTTCCATGTGAGCTGTGTGTTCTCTGAAGTAGGGAATTTCAAACTCATCAGCTACAGGAAATGTGAATATTTTAGCTAACTTTCAGCAGCTTTCAACTAGATTAGGTGTTACAAAGAGATTTCAAAACTTAAGGAACCAGCTGAAATGGTTGGAGTACTTGGGTTGTCAGCAGTGGTCTTTCAGTTGGTACCTGATTAAATAAGTGGCTGTCTATAATGTGATAGATGGCTCTGGTCACAGAAAGGGCAAAACAAATTAATTGTTTATAGTAATGGTTATTAGAGGTACTACAGGTGGTGGCTTTTACTTGTTACTGCCTAAAAAGGAGAACAGTGTGTAACTACTCTACAAATTTGATGATCCTTTTTGATTGCAGACACCAGTTTTGCTGAAGAAGTTATGGATGATTTCATGTCAGCAGAAGGTGTGTAGGAAGCTTTTTTTAACACTTTAGCTCCCAAGATCTCATTAGTAATTCTCCTTACTGTCTGCCAAATTATTCTCATTATGTTAGTTTAAAAAATTTTGTATCAGATCAATTAGTAATCCCATAATTGATATTTTTCTATATTCTCATTTATACTTGTTAGCATGATATTGTATAGATATAGTAAGGAGAAATTCTCTCTTGGTCATTCACAGGAGTTAAAGGGTTAATCCATGAACTATTCTTACTTATTTTTGAACAGTCAAAATGCACCATGTTACTGATTGTATCTTAATTAAGACAGGGGAATGTGCCCTTGATATTACCTAACTGAAGTTCACAGTTTTGAATTCCTACGTCCTGAATGATTCAGTTTCCTTTTGAAATTTGCTTCAAGATGGAAGATTGTTATGCTGTTGTTACAATTGTTGTTTGATAAAGACAAAAGAGCAATTTAGAGTGAATATCCTTGGTATCAAAAATGTTTATAGTGAACTGTTTCTGGGCATTCTGTACTGCATGTTGCAAAAGGAATTTGAAAGATAATTGAAACAAGAGGCTCCATTAGGAGTACAAGTCTGATGTATTTTCTCCTTGTGTATTGTCTGTACCTCAGACCTTTGGGTTGACATCAAGCATTGCTTTGGAAAACTTTTCACTTGGAACAGATTGTTTTGTTGAGCTAAGAGACAAGAAAAATAAAATTTTCAAGTTTGTCTTTTGTTTGTGACTCTCACAATATCTAGGCATAACACATACAAAATGAAATGGAAAGCACATGTATTAAGACTTTTAAAACATTTTTGTATTTGAAATTCACAGCAGTTTTATTTCCAATCCACAGTGTATGCACCTTTACTTCGCTTGTCACCACCACCAGGAGAACATGACTACTACTTCAACCTAGATGACTCTGAGGGCGTCTGTGATTTATTTGACATTCCAAACCTAGATATGCCTTCTCCATTAACAGGAGCTATGGCATCCACATAGTAAATGGATCTGCATGTACTTATACCATTGTTCTGCTAATCCTGCATACGATTCAAGTCACTGCATTCTGGTTTGAAATATGAACATGTGTCCATGACTTGGTGGGAGAAGTACAAGGCTTAGTGTAAAGATTTGTGTTTTGCATTAAGGCCACAATTGGATTGCTGTTCTGAAGGTGCAGGTTCAGACAGAATTAATGGGTGATTGTGACTGGAGTGTTTCTTTGAATTCAGACAATTGCAGATGTGGATTTGTAGGAATCAAAATCAGGGTCAGGTGATGGATACAAAGCCATCAAGATGAGTGTGTGAAATTCATTACTAGATGGAGAAGATGGAGGTCTTTCAGTCAGTGGAGCCATGTTACACATGGAGCTTTTTAATGATATATTTACCCTTTGACTTCCAGACATGATTAACAAGTAACTTCTCCTTAAAATATCCTTTCATTATCCAGCAACCAAGCAATGAGAATACTCAAACTTATCTGGTAGAAGTTGTTATATTGACCTATGATCAAATTCTTGTTACTAATTTAAGGGGAGAAGATCTAGGGAGCTACAGGGTTTAAGGCCAGCTTTCATTTGTCAAGAAACACCCATGCAATGTGAAATTTCTCTGTTTCTCCACTATTCCAAACTTTGCTGATGAATTGGAAATGATTTGATGACATTGTCTCAGACTCCTGAAAATTGTGATGAGCTAAAACTGTTGGTAATTTTTTACATCCTTGGCTGTTGGTAAGTTTGTTTTGTTTTGTTTTTTCACTTTTTTCTTTTTCTTTTTCTTTTTTTACATCCTTGGCTGTTGAAAACAGCAGTTTCTTATAACAATGTTTGCAAGAGCTTCTTGTTTGGTCCCAGATTATGCCGTATGATAAGACCTGACTTTTGTTCTTAAAGCACTGAAAGAGTTAAGGAACAGTGATATACTGCTATTCAGTAAACTGGGCTTTATCTGACAAATGAAAACCAAGTTTATGCTCAGAGAACAGAGGAATTTAATTGAATTGTTTAGCTCTTGGTTGGTCTTAAAATCATTTTGTTATTGCTACAAAGAATTTTCTTTGTGATGCTGATGATGCCAGTCATTATTAATTTAATCAGTGTTATTATTATTGTTATTATTATTATTTTTATTTTTATTATAAGCATCATCATCATCATCATTATCATCATTGTGATTGTTAATACTTTTATGATTTGGTCATTTTCGTGAACTTTTCCCATTGGTATTTATGTTGTTATCTCTGCTTTCCTTTGCTTACTTTTTCTTCTTTTTCTTTAATGCTGTTGTTTTGAATGGCCATCACACTTTAGGCTAGAAACAGAGAGTAACAGCTTTAATGTGTTCAAATTGTACACTAAGTTGACATTCCATTTGTCTGATTCCTGAATTCAAAGGCACTTCAATCTTTTTCCCTAATCACTTTGGAAACACTTCAGCCTCCATGAAACACTTTCTATACTTTTGTAAAAAGATTTTGTTTTTTTGCTGACTATTTTGGATAATGAAATTTTTAATTTAGGACTGCTTTTTCAGTGTGTGGTTATTCAGATTTGTCTTAGTCACTTCAAATGTTATATGCCACATCATGTATTTACTGATTGATGCAAGAAAATGGTTTCCTTCAAAGTGATTATTTTTCAAGGCTTGTTTTTACCTAATGCACATGTGTATTTGATAATATAGTAAGTAAGCTGTGCTCTTTGAAATATGATACTTACAGGGAAGTATTTAAACCAGAAAAAACACTTTATGTTGTAGCTGTCCACTGTCTTAGATTACGACTAATACAAACTTTTTGCCACAAATTACAATTTTAGCATATGATGGAAGGTCAGTTGGAAGAGTGTATCTTGCTGTTGGTCTGAGATTAGCAGTACCTCTTACCTTTTCAAAAGTTGTTGCAATATTCAAAAGAAAACAATACGTAGAAAACATTTTTTTTTTAAGTGGTTGCTGGTTTTTTTTTCTCTGTTTCTTCCACTGATTTCTACTTCCACATACAATGTGATAGAATTAGTTGCTACAATATTGAGCCTAAGATCTGATGATTCTGTAGATGGCTTTCCAGTCCAGTACTTTCTTTAAAACTGTTTAATTTACTCAACCGATTTTCACAAATATTGAGAGTCTCAGCGTTGAACAATTCAACATTTGTAAAATTTTCTCTTTCACCCCTCCCAACTCTTGAGAAGAAATACTTGCTTCTTTTCTTTCTTGTGATATATTTACTACGTGTGTATATTAAATTTCCTTAACCCTTTAAACCCTAAGAGTGACCAGCATCCAAATTCTCCTTGCAATAATACTACTGAATCATTCATTACTATCATGGGAATAAAGGAAATGATCACCAACCTAAGATGCTTTGATTGTAAAACAAATTCTCCTTGTCAAGACTAAAGGAAATGTATAGAAAAGAGTATGGAGAATATGGATACTGATGTTAGGGGGGGAAGGGTTATGTGGAATTCTGTTTCTCATACTCCTACAGTAATTGTTACTCTATTCTGAGTGATTGGCTGTGTGTACTAAATTCGCATAACTCAGAGCTATAACTGTTGTAACTTATTGCAGTTGGCTATTACATTATTTTGATCTTGAACAGTAATTTTTTTCATCTCCTTCCAATGGAGTCTTTGAAAGTATTTTGTACATACAAAAATATATAATAAAATATCTGACAGAAGCAATGAAGTGTGTTTTGAAGATATTAGGGGGGAGTTTATTAAAGAGATGTTTAAAGTGACCTTTACAGGAACAGTGAAAATTCACACTGATCTTACTTGCTCTTCGAGTTTGCAAATTAATCCGTAGAATAAAACAAAAACTCATCTTCACGGCTATTGCCATTGTTTCCTTTGCAGTGCATTAACGGCTGAAAGGAGACGAAAAGAAGTTGACTTTTCGCTGTTTACTGCTTGACGTAAACGTTGTGCTAGCCACAGTTTTCATGTGATGTCTCTTAATCACCACAGTAGAAACGAACGCTTTTCATTTAACCAGTTTATTCTTGTGTTTTTTCACGTTTCCTGTTCCTACAAATAGAGTAGCTCCGCTATTCTGTAGATAACCAGCTCGCAACCAACAATTCCACAACTTGACCCGACGAAGGGCTAACTTCCGAAACGACCGCTTTAGAAACTCTTTAGACTCTCAGATGATAAAACCAAATTGTCTGGTCACCGCAATAGAGACATTATTTGTCAAGAATACCCTCTTCGCGCTAATCACTTACAACTGAACTTGATACCCGCCCTAACAAACACGATTACAAACATAAAGCCATCAACTTAAAAGTTTCTACAAATTAATCAGTGAATTAAGTGCTATCAACGACCATAAATATGTACTATAAATATACTGAAAATATGACTAAAACCGAGTTTATGCTCACGGTTTAGAGGCAGATATTATATACTCTCGCAGTTTCTCCGACGATCACAATTTATGATAATCAAGTTAGCCAGGCCAAAACCGCAAAATGATTTGGGGGAACCATCGATAACTTATAACAAACTCGATTGGAGCAGTCACATCGAGAAACTAGCAAAGAAAGTCGCTTGTGGCATTAGGGCTATAAAACGAATATGGCACCTTGTCCCTCAAGCAACTTTTCTCCTAATATATCAAGCTCTGATTCAGCCACATTTTGACTATTGTAATATTGTTTGGGGAAACTGCGGGATAACTTTGCAGAACTAGGTGGAGTAACTACAAAACAGAGCAGCCCCCCTTATCCAAATTATCAAATTATGACGCCGATATTGGTCGCTTGTTTTGGAAAAACCTAGCTTCCCAGCCGCAAATACAAAGAGCCAATGATCTATGAGTCTCTGCACGGTTTGATTCCAGATTATTTATGTTCTAAATTTGAAAGGTGATAAACTGCAAATAATCTAAGAAACTTTGAGAATAAGCTTAATGTTCCTTTGCCGCACACAAACTCTTACAAAAATAGCTTCAGCTATAGTGGCGCCACTCTTTGGAACAGACTTCTCGTGATATAAGACAAGCGGAGTCCCTTGGGTTATTTAAGCGTTTAATTAAAGAAGTACGTTCAGGCACGGCATTCGTGGAAAGCAGCTTTAGTTAGGTTTGTGCTTTCAGTATAGTTTTTATAGTATCTTATCCATTTAATGTATGTTTATACATTTGAATGTTTTTTTTGGCTGATTAATTGTCCGTAGGTAAATAAAGATTATCTATCTATATTAATTCGCGCGTAACGTGGCTCTTATTTGCAGGGTGTTTGCAGGTTAGAATTTCGTAGCGGTTTTTTTCTTTTAACCTTAAAAGGCATGAATCAACAACCAACCGTCAGGGATAATAACTAGTAGGAGTGATCAACTACGCTTCAGTGGTAAAATATGTGAAGCCATGCGAGTAACACATCATTGTGGAAAATAAGAGCGGAGTAAAAGGTGTGGCCATAATAAGTGGCCCACGGTCTGCCTTTATAACTATGTCGATGTGACAATAACGAAATACCAAACCTGGAGTAAATGCATTCATAGCGTAGTGAATAGGATCGTGCGATTCATAACACGAACGGTTTAAACAGTCAAAACTTAGACCTCTTCACATTTTAGCTCCACTACGAAGTACACAACATGAACAGAAAACCATTAGGTTTTATTTTGGCAGTTTCAGTCGAGTTCTGGCACCGTTACACTGATTACATTATCATACCCAAATAATTACAAGACGGAGCCGGGAAGGTTGACGGCTTGGGAACATGTTACAACCTTGCAAATCAGTATTCATACACTTCAGTCAGATTATCGGACATTAATTCATAATAATTTATAAGTTTTTCTAGACCAACAAGTGCAATATCGTTTTCAATTAAGCTACATAGATTATGATTATCAGTAACAGTCCTGTTATGGACGTATTTACAGAGTGGAAAACTGTTTCAAGTTCCAGATTTTTCGTCGAACTTGATCCAGTACATTTGGCTCGTGGAACTTGCGATGAACTATGAAAAGCTCTAAGTTTGTTTCAACACGTGTAATAATGAGATGCGAGGGTTTGAGTACTTCATGTCGTAGGGTAGGCTGTGATTATCTCTTGATCCTGAGCGTCGTAGATAACCGTCACCGAGAAACACCGCAATTTGGTCTTTCCGTGAATCCCTACAGGAGAATTAAACTTCTTTTGCAATACATACCTGTTTCCGTCAGTCCAGTGTGGCGTTGAAATGTCTGGGTTTTCAAAAGTATCTTGTACCAATTTCCACACAGATTTCTTATCAGGGGAAAGAAAATAGCTTTTCCTTTGTTTTCCAGGGAACACATGATCGTCCTTGATATGTTTCTTCACTTTGTCATTCAGAGTAAAGCCATCTTTCCATCTCTTTCTTAGCCTGATTGCCATTTTAGCACGGTCAGCGAAGGGATAGAAGAATCGAACAACCCCTTGCTCACAAAAAAATTTACATTACTCACATTAATTTCATGGTCTGACGTGTTTGTTCGTCGAGGGTTTGGGAAAGGGTTAAATGTTGTGTTAGGGGAAGGGTAGGTGCGCAGTTGCTCAGATATTGTTATTGTCGCTGAATTGGCGTCTCACCGGAAAATGCGGAAAAAGATCGACTGGTCCCATATATAACATTAAGTTTTAGTTCAAAGTTTATTCAGCTTAGAAGGCACGTGTGTGGAACTCTTAAAAGCAACTTGGTTAAAGTATTGATCAAAAGAGTTGTTTAGCCTTTTTGCATTGCGATCTTTGTTATTTTCTAAATAATAGCATACCCTGCTAGTGTTGATTAAAATCTCGAAGTTCGCGTCTTTTGGGACTTATCATTGGGAACTTGTGTTGAGTTAACCGAACATAATCTAGTATTTTCCAAGTGTGCCATAAGTCTTCCATTCAAGGGTTGATATATTTCCGGTCGAAAGTTTCAAACAGGAAGTTGCGGAGATAATCGCAGAATGCTGTGGTTGTTTTCGTTGGCTGTCCTGAAACATGCTCTGAGAGAAATCACGACACGACACGACAAGGAGAAAACTGCCATAATTAAGTCAGGAATTGTTTTCAATAACGACGTTTCGGAGATAATCGCATTTCGCCACATGGTTGTTTCGTTGGCTGT